GTCTGCAGCCCTCTTTCAGGAATCTGCCTGGCACCTAGCACCTGTTAATGTGCTGAGAAGTAGTGGCTGGTGTATGGCCTGGTCTCTAGCTCCGGCTTGAGGTACAGGGCCTCGTGGGAGAGGCTTTGAGTTAGGACTTCTGTCCCAACTTCTCATGTAGTCCCGTGGGACTGGAGGGGCCTGTCTTGGGGGGACCTGGGAATCACTGGGGAACTGGGCTTCACATGCCTGTAGCCTCCCAGCAGGCTTCTACCACTCAGGGCCCTGGCCTTGACCTGCTGGCTCCAGGCCTCCATCCCGCGGAAACTTGAAAGCACATAGCCTCAGTCCTGGACAGCTTGGGCGTTTTCTTTTTGGGACTTGAGGAGCAGTCCAGCAGTGTCTTTGTGGCCGATGAGGTGTCTGAAGGCGCCTTGGGCCACACGGGGCTCGCTGCGGTGTACAGAAGCTGCTGCTGGGAGATATTGCCTAGCGGCAGACTGCCTGTCCTCCTTGTCCCTCTGTAACTGGCATGGCATGTGGTGGGCTCCCCAGGACGGCTGTCTGCACTGTTGAGGCCAGGTGCTGCTGAAGGGTCCCTGAACCCAGCATCTCCTCCTGCCCAGTGGGTGCCAATTCAGTGGTACAGGACAGAGCCTAGAACAAGGTGTGGCTCTCTTCCAGCCTCAGTTGCCCTCTGGGGAAAACACCTAGCTGAAAGCTGAACTGGGGAATGGCAGAGCATCTATGTCCGGGAGGCAGTATGGGATAGGTACAGTAGTCACACTGAGGACAGGACACAGCGAGGTCCTAGTCCCTGCCCACAGTGTTAGCAGCAGCTGGCAAGGGGATTTGTAGAAGGACAGGATCAGCTCTGCCTGCCTGTTGCTCAGGTTGGTTTGTGGGATCTTGTGATGTGAAGGGCACCTGCAGGAAGGGAGCCTTACTATTACAGAAGCCACGTTCACACGCCTGACTCCAAGCTAGTTCCACCACCTGTTGTTAGGTTACCATCAGGGATGCTGCTGGGCTGTGAACTGTTAGTAGCCTCAGCCCTCACTGCTGGCTTCCCGACCTTGGCGGCCTTCTTCTCTGGTGGGTTTTTGCCAAGCTGGTGTGGGTGGCTCTGCAGCCCTTCTTCTGCCCACGCCAGGCTTCTCACACACAGCAGCCACTTAGAATAATCGCGTCAAATGTCGTTGCCATCTGTTGCCTCCCTTCCATCCCTGCTGCCGCCTGGGAACCTCTGAGGCTCCGGATCTGCTGCTTTGTACCTCATCAGGTGATTCTCGGAGGCCTTTGTCAGCTGGCTGCATACTGGCCAAGCGTATACTGGCGAAGCCGGTCTCACCCTCCCCTCCCGCAACTGTACAGCCTCATGGCTCTCTCCTTCCTCTCACCCTCCCGCCCTCCCTCCCTCCCTTACTTTGCCATTCTGGGCCCTGCACTCAGGGACTCCCCATGCCACCTCCTCAGCCGCCTTTTTACTACTTGTTTTGAGATGGGTTCTCACTAAGTCTCACTGGGTTGGCAGTGAGCCTTGCGGTCCTCGTGCCTCAGCCCTCTGAGTACCTGGGGTGACAAGTTTGCACACCATTTCTTTGCGCCATTTTGAGCCACTCATGTGGCCCTCTTGTCGCACGGTACTCCAAGTATTTTGAACACTAAGTCAGCAGGACCTTTGACAGCTTGGTGGTGGACAGGGAGACGCTGAGGAGTGTCAGTAAATCTAAGGTGTCCCCATCCTCTGCCCTGCTGTGGCTGCAGGGAATCCCAGAGGCTACTTAGGCATTAACTGCACTCCAAGCCGTGGGTAGCCTCTTCTACCTCCCTCATTCTGCCTGGCTGCTTTATTCCCCTTTGACCCCCAGATCAGAGCCCTTGTCATATCCAGGTCACCCCCACTTGCCTGCTGTTTTCTCTGCTTTCAGGGTCTTGGGTCAGGAGCCACCATCTGCTGTTTTCCCTGCTCTGATGCCTTGTGCTGGGGGAGACCTTGGGGGAACTGACCTTGGGAGCACCAGTAGCAGCCTGGGCCCTAGGCTCACCATTGAACATCAGCAGGCCTCCCTACCCCACCCGTGGAGAAGCTGCCTCACGTGGGTGCCCTCAAAACAAGCTGGCAGCACACATAATAATGAATTTATTATGAAGCCGTCCAGGCTCTGAGGATCACGTGGCACCCCGTACTACTGCAGCCGCTGGGTCCCTGCAGCAGGGTGACCCCAGCCTTGTTAGAACTTCGGAAGCATCACCCTCAGGGTAGCGGGGATCAAGGGGGGCAGGTGTGGAGCCTGGCCTGGGCCGGCCCCTGTCTGTTCACAAACATTTCAGTGTGCAGTAACGAGAAATGATGGAGAGGGGCAGATAGAGCGAGCATCCAGGTCCAGACTGCCTGAGAGCTCGGCTCTGCTGGGTGCAGCTTCCCTGGGTGTAATTACCCTGGGGTGAGGGGCTGCTGGGGGAGGAGGGGGCAGATTGGTGCTTGAACCGGGCCTCCAGAAAATTCATCTCAGCTATTAGCTGGTAATTACAGAGCAGAAGGAGCAAGCCTGAGGTCTGGTGCTGGGAGGAGCTGGGATGAAAGGGGCAGTAATTACGGCTTCAACGGGAGGGAGGCTGGGCTGATTAATAACTCCTGACATACAGCAGGAGGGAAGTGGCATTGGAGGACCCCCCCCCCCGGCCGTGAAGCCCACTGGGGTCAGCAGTGCAGGACCAGAGTGAGGTGAATTGGACAGTATCACCTGCCTGGTCCCCTGGGGTCAGACCTTTGGCAGGGTCCGAAAGCAGTGATGCTTCTGGCCATGTTAGAAACCTATGCAGAGAAAGGGGAGGAAACACTCTATGTGGGGCAGGCAAGGCAGGGTACACGAGGCAACCTGGCTGTCCTGGGCCGTTTTGTGGGTGCTTGTAGTGGCTTCTGGCAGAAACCTGAGCTCTCAGCTGAGTTCTGGATGGATCTAGAGAGAAGAAAGCTGAAGCTGATTAGTTGCGAGTTAATGCTTGGACAAAACAACAGGAAGGAGCCTATATAGGGTGGCACAGGAGGCCACCTACATCCAGGCTCGCTTCCCCTCTGTGCTGCGGGGACTGTGTAGGCAGCCCCTGGCCTCATCCATCATGGCCCTTGCACCACAGAGCTTATTCCCAGCTGTTAGGATAATGAATTCACATGAGGTGATCTCATAGATGAGGGTTCAGTCAACGGCTGGGAGCAGAGAAGTTAATAAATACCCCCTAATGAGGGCAGGGAGGGCAAGCATCCTGTGCCCACCTCTCCTCTCCTGGTGCTCCTGCCTGTTAGAGGTGGCTTGTCTTCAGAGGATGCCAGACACAGAACAGGCACCAGTTCTGATGGGTCTAGGCCAGTGAGTGAGGGGACTCTTGAGCACCCCCCCGTTTGGCAGTGTATCTATCCTCTCTGGTACCCGAAGCTGTTCCCCGCCCCTCCCCCACCAGCCCCATGTGCGCATGTGAAGAGCAATGCTAATTTTAGACTCCCCCCTAATGAAGCCGCTCATTTGGCATTCTATTTTAAGTGACCTGACATGAGAGCAGTTTCCCAGGCTGGGAACATACTGATACCTCCAGGACCTAGGCTTGGGGGACCCCCCCTAAGAATGGGAGGAAGGGCAGCTATGCTCTGGACCTGAGGCTGCTGGAGACCCCAGGAGTGGGTCCCCCACAGGAGCATGATGGGGACACTGGTAGCATGTGGTACAGTGGGAGGGGTCCTGCTCACCACACATTCTGTGCTCTGCCGGCTCTCTGCCATCTCCCCACGCCTACTGGGCCTGGCGTGTCTGCCCAGACCCCCTTAGGCATCTTGAAAGTCCCCACAGTGGCACGTTTTCCTCCTCAGATTAGGAAGATAAGCCTGCAGCTGTATACAGTGAGCTGCAGCTCTTAGCATCTCCATCTGCCTTGGCACCCACCTGGTGTGGGTAGCTGGGTCTGAGGCAGCTTGTGTCACACAGGACATAGCGCTGCGCTGGAGTGCTCCCAGCCCTACTCTGAGCCACCCAGTGCTGGGTCTACCCACTCATATCTGTGAAATGAGTCCAAGGACACCTTCACTGAATGCAGGACTGGAGGCAGGTGCTGGCTTGCTGGGGTGGAGGAGCTGGTGGCACCTGAGGTAGCTGTGCAGTGGCGGAGGCTGAGGCTCAGGTCTGTGTGCCGATTGGCGTTTCTTGGCTTTTGATCAGCTTTGGTTAACAGCTCATTCCAGACACTGTGCTACATCGTAAACTGCCCCAAGGTTGGTGCCTGGAGTCTCTGGGTCAGGGACTGAAAGCTTAGCTGGGCAGGTCTGGTTCACAGTCATGGATGAGACCTTTGGGGTGGCCTCCTAAACCGGGACTCTGCCAAGAACTGTGGGAGCTTCTTCTCTGGCATTGTGGCTTGAGTGTTGTCTTATCTGCCCCGAGGACTGGAAGGCTTCACCAGGGGCTGTAGTTTGTCTGTTCTTTGCTGCCAACCCCTCCCATCTGAGGTAGATTGGAGAGTCGGAGAATGTAGGGATGGTATGACCCCAGGCTGGCCTGAGAAGTGATAGGTGCTGCGTTTGCATTGACCCCACTGGGGCCTTGGGTTTCCTTCTCTGTAATATGGGGCAGTTGTGCAGGCATCTTCAATGCTGTTGCAGATGACTGGTAGTTACAGCCCTGTAATTGTCCGCTGCTTGCTGTGTTGTCTCGTTGGTCATTTCAGCTCTGTGCTCCAGACCCTGCCTCAGTCTCCCTCCTCAACACTTGGGTCTGGTAGGGCCCTGGATATGACGCTTTGGGGTACAGTCTCTAGGCTTGGTTCTGGAGAGCTGGTCCTGGGGCCAGCATCATCGTTGGGGTGCCCTCACACCCGTGGGGCCAGTTGGACTGTGGGAATGGGTCTGCTGTCTGCAGCGCTGGCTGTGCTCTGCTCCTGTGGCCTTCGGCTCTTGCTGCATGCCCCTGCAGCCCCTCTGGTGCTGGCGCTCTGCTCTCTGGGTGACACTGGTTCTTCTTTTCCTGTTTCAGGCATGAGCCATGAGCCCAAGTCCCCTTCAATAGGGATGCTTTCCACGGCGACCAGGACCACCGCCACCGTCAACCCCCTCACCCCCTCGCCACTCAATGGCGCCCTGGTGCCCACCGGTAGCCCGGCCACCAGCAGTACGCTGTCGGCCCAGGCCGCGCCATCCTCCAGCTTTGCTGCCGCGCTGCGCAAACTCGCCAAACAGGCAGAGGAGCCCAGAGGTAAGAGGCACCAGGCCACCAGCTCATGGGATGCCCCCTACCCACCCACAAAGTGCATCTCTCTGGCTGGCATGGCCACAGGAGACAACTGCGCAGCCTGCGTGTCGTCCCACCCCACACTGCATCCAGGCAGGACCAGCCTGGATGCAGCCGTCATCATAACTCTAGCTCCTGACCCCAGACCTACACCCTGCTTCGCTATGCCTTCCTCTCTGCCTGCCTCTGCCCGCCTCTGCCCTCCTTAGCTTCAGTGACCACTGTAGGAGCTCCTTGGTGGGCAAGTGGACTTGCCATGGGGAAGGCTGTGGTAGATTCCGAGTGCCTGCGTCCTGGAGCCCCACCTCACTCGGGGTAGCCTCTTATCTGTTATTTGACCTAATTAGTGCCAGCCGTGTGCCTCCCCATCCCTGTTATAGCAGAGGGCATGGGGTTTCCGGTATAGCCAAAGCCACTGTAGCCTGTATCCTTTTGGCTCTTCTTTGTGATCGAGTGGGCACATGTCCTAGAGGGACCAGAGATTTGCTCTGAGCTGGGACATACTGTGTTGCTTTGGGCAAAGGCTGGCCCTTTCTGAATTTAGTCTTCTTGTTGGCACACAAGGCTCTCTTAGGCCCCCTTGGCTCTGCTTTTGGGGCACTTCTCGTGCCCTGTGACATGCTGGTCAGGGAGTGCCAATGGCACAGATGGGTCAGTTTATTCCTGCACACTTGAGCCCTTTGGATTCTGGCACCTCCTGGACTCGCTGCTCAGAGGCAGGTAGCCAAAGTACAGAAACCCAGGTGCCATCTGCTTTGTCTCAAAGTCCCAAGGCCCTGGACCCCAGGGATGCTTCAGGAGCCATCGATGGCCTACAGTCAGGCTCGCAGAGGAATGGAAGTATACTCTGGGTGCTGGCAGAGGTGGGGACGTGACTGAAATGGGCAATAGGGGTACCAGAGCAGGGGGACAGTGGTCCACCTCCACCCAACGCAGGCCTCTCCGTCTACCTCGTGGAGGGGGGCTGTTGATAAGAACCACACCTGAACTAGCCAACCTATGTTGGATGCTGGCCTGGCTCTGGTGGCCCTGAAGAAGCCGGCCACATCTGCTTCTTCATCTCCCAACATCACATCCGGTGCAATCCTATGGCCGGTTGGTGGGCCAAGTGCCAGAGGCTGCAGGCCTCGGTGGGTGGAAATAGGGTAGATGGGAGACGGCAGGTGCAGTGTCCCCCAGGCCTACCCTCTCTTGGCTATGACCTGGGCACCTGGTGCCCGGGAACTTTGTGCCTCTTTGGGACAGGGACGATGGAGCCAGCAGTGCAGCCGACTCAGACTTGTGTTTGCCGACTTGTCTCCTGAATCTTCCCCATGTACAGATGGAGATCTCAGACTTGGGGTGCTTGGTGTCTGTACACACAAGGTAGCCTGGGGACCCCAGGGCATCCTGGCACTGACTCTGGTGTCCAGCTGGGCCTGGGCCTTGGTCTCCTATCTTGCTGGACACTGGGTGTCTTGACAGCAGATTGAAGTGAAGGCCTACTCCTCCCCCCCCCTCATCTGCCAGGACCCTTAGCCATTCTTCGCCACCTCAGCTTGGACCAGGCTGTTTGATTGGTGGCATTGCTGGGATGGTGTGTCATACAGATGCTAAAGCTAAAGTTCAGAGGGGGTCACAGTAGTGAATCCTCCTGTCCCCTGCTGCTTCCACTGCTGAGAACTTCTGCAAGGACCTAAACAGCTGGAGCTAGGGCTGAAGCCAGCGGTTCTAGGAGGAGGAAGTTCCTTGTTTGGTACCCACCAGTGTGGTGCAGGAGGACTAGGCTGAGGGCTGTGGAGGGCTGGATTTGCCTCCTGGGCGTTGGACTGTCAGATTATCAGAACCTTTATCAGGTAGGTGCTTCCAGACTACTTCATTCCCGGAGCCACATTTTAAGTTTTGTGGTGTTTTTTGTTTTTGAGACAGGATTTTTTCTGTGTTGCCCTGACTGTCCTGGAACTCACTCTATAGACCAGGCTGTCCTCAAATTTAGAGATCCGCTTTCTCCTGCCTCCCTGGTGCATGCTGGGATTAAAGGCGTGTGCCACCACCGCCCTGTTTAAATATTTTCTTGAGATGGGGTGTTTTGTAGCCCAGGTTAGCCTGGAACTGTTTGTGTAGCTTGAATTTCTGTTCTCTTGATGGCTGCCACACCCAGTTTACAAAGTGCTGCAGATGGAACCCAAGCCTTGTTTGTGCATGCTAGGCAAGTCCTACCCTGGAACCATATAGCCAGTCCCTCTCAACCTTTAATAGTTGTGCGGCTGTCACCTTCCCTGGAACTCCAGAACATTTTCTGTGTCCCCTGCAGGATTGCCTATCTACCCTCAGCCCCTCCCCCAAGTCCCCAGTCCCTAGCCTGCTCTGATAGTGCCAGGTTGGGTTGGTGTATCTGCCATGTGGTTCCTAGCTGTTGCATCCTTCTATGCGGGGCATCCAGCCTTCCCGTGCTGATCCCATGGGGAAGCAGGCAGGTAGGACCCACCCAATGTCTCGCTTTGGCTCTTGACTCTCTGACTCTCCCTCCGGGTCACTGTGAGAGAAAGCTGAGCCTGAAGATTGGGGACACTGATCTCAGGCAATTCCAGGCTTGTGTTCTGGAGGCCCCTACAAGGCAGGCTTCTGAGCTGTCTACTCTGAAAGCCCATGGTGGCTCTCGGCCCACTCCAGCAGCGGAAGGATCTTTAGTGCAGGGGTGGTGGCTGCCAGAGCTGGTGCTGTTGCCTTTGCAGGGGCTTGCTCCCCCGACCTCACCCCAAGCTCTGTCCCATGCCCACCTTTCCTGGAAACATCGATGTATTTTTAGCCGTCTGACTGTGCTCTCCTAGGCTGATGTCTTACCTTCAGTTGTGTCTCCAGGGTACAGTTTAAAAATTCAATCCAGACAATGCAATCAGCATGCTGCCTCATTTGCTCTGCCCCAGAGAAGAGAAGCTGGCCCCTCCCAAGTCCTCCATTGGCCCCATGGGGCTCGGTCACGCCCAGCTGGCCAGGTGGGAGCCCTAGCCTAAGGGAAGGCCAAGGTATGACAGGCCAGAAGATGCTAGATTCACCCAGCCAGCTCCAGTTCACATCCTGACACCTTTAATTACTTGCTGTGTGCCCTGACAGGAGGAAGGAGGACACAGGGAGCACCCCAGCTTGTACACTGGCTTCTGGAAGAAGCATTAGGCTATGGGCTTGAGTAAGTCCCACCCCAGGCTGGACCCCTGGCTCTGTCCTGCGCTGGCTGCTCCCATCAGTGTAGACTCCGAAAACCGTCCCCAGGCTGCTCAGCCGTCCTGAAGCTGCTTCCATCCGTGTGTTGTGACAGCGTTAGGTTCTCAGCTGCACAGGATGGGATTCACCCTGTCAGAGGCGCTGCCCTTTCCCCGGCAAAGGCTCTTCAGCACAGAGCTCATGTTTCCCGGTGGTGGTTGAGCCCAGTTTGAGAGGCTGCCGTCGGGCACACCTGTTGGCCCTGCCCACCCTGCTGCTCTTGTAGGGGTTTTCATCTCTCTGTGCTTCCCACCTCCTAGACATTAGCACAGCTGCCTTGAGCAAGGGTCCCCAGGGTGTTCAGTGTTTTTGTTAAGCTACTGGGTAAGGAGGGGTGTTGGGAGTCCCTGGCAGCAGCCTCTGGGAACTCTGATACCCGGAGCCATGTCTCAAGCCTCCAGCCTGGACCCATAGACAGTCCTCAGAGCTGCCCTAGGCAAAAGCTCCCTGGACTCTATGGAGAGCAAGCTGTAGAGCCCCCTCGTCACTGCCCCCACCTGTGAGAGATAAAGCCGGGTGCTGCCAGGGAGGGCCCAAGCTGTGTGACAATCTGCTCATCTCCCATGGGGCCCTGGTGCCGTCTGCTGAGGGGGGCGGGGCTGCAACGGGAGCCCACATGTCCTTAGCTGATTGTCGGAAGGCCCACACAGCACTCAGAGCTATGTGTACCCTCGGTTCTAGGACACCTGGAGCCTTGGGCCCCCTCTTTCCCAGGAAGTACGTGGGGGAGAGGGGAGGAAGATCCTTCTTGTACCCACTGTTCGCCACTTGGGCACCTGCGGGGAGCAGGCTGACAGGGTGGGATGCAGTGGTTGAGCTTCCGATTAGACATCCCCAGTTCTCCGAGCCTTCGCCACCTGCCTGTCTTGTCGCAGACCTTGTAACCCAGGGGCATTTAGTTACTGTGGGTGGTGGATGAAATCCATATCCAGCCCCCAGAGAGGCCGAGGCTGGAGAACACCCCTCTGTGTTGAGGCAGGTAGCCCCCACCTGCTTGCATCTGCTACAGGGTGGGCTGGTGGAGGCTACACATCCTATGTGCATCCCCTTGTAAATCTGCCTCTTTCAGTGAAAGCAACGAAACAAATGGTCTGCCTGGCGGGCCTGCCTGCCTGTCAGTCTGCGGCTGGCAGGGCGGAGGCGTCTCAGCGGGTGTCTGGAGCCCCGTCTGTCTGTGGCTCAGGTGTGAGTAGTGGGGCTAGCTGTCGTGCAAGAGGCCAGGAAGGGCAGGAAGAGTCTGTAGCCACAGCTGGCCTAGGTGACAGGAGAGGCAGGTAGGCTGATGCCAGGGTGACATCCAGTCGCTTTCCCTCCCCAGACCCCCTCTGCTGCCTCCCTTCCCCCCCCCTCTCTCTCTATCACCCCCTCCAGTGTCTTGATGGTGTTGGGGCAGAGCCCAACCCAAGGGACTCTTGCTGGCTCCTCCCCCTCCCAGCCTCCATTCTTCCTGATCTGTGCTGTGTGCTGCAATCATGTTCTTGGCCCATCGAGTAGCCCTGGAAAGTGTTCCTCTGAGATCTCAGCACCTTCCTCCTTGTTGACTTGGGTTTAATGACTGGTCCTGGGTACAGGACCTCAGCAGCTGCCAACATCCCCCTTGGCTCACAGCTGGGCACCGAGGCCACCCACCCTCGGGTCTGCAGCATGCATGAAGACCTGCTGGCGGAGCAGGAGGCAAGGCCTGTCCAGCAGCACATGGCTGCCCTGTGATTCTGCTTGGCTGTCTCTCCTCAAAGCTGCGGGTCATGGCTGATGCCATCTCTAGTGTTTGCTGCTGCATGCCTGGGTGTTTGTGCCTACCACACGGGGACCTGTGGGGGGGGGGCGGTCCAGAGGCTTCCCTGCCTTGGGTCGCCGTGCCTTGGTCCTAGGTCCCTCACTGCTAGCACTCACTTTCCCCACGCAGCAGTTGATCATAGAGCTGGTTGGACTTTCTTATCCCGTGACATGTGCCTCCTCCCAGACTGGCCCGGTGGCAGTAGCTCAAGTCTACAGGGAAGAAAGGAACAGTCCCTGAGATGGGAGACCCCTCTACCAGCCCAGACACCAGGCTGCAGGCCCAGTGGAATGCATAGTAGTACAGCTTTCTCTACTCAGAGGCTTTGTCAGAGCTGATGGGGACAGAGAGATACCTGACAGGAGTGGCCGGCCATAGGAACAGGTGCAGGGACCTCTGGGCTTGCCTGCCCTGTGGTTGGGGCGGGGGCTTAGTGGGTCCTTTCTTCACAGAGGCTGGAACTAGACCCTCTGTGGACTTGCTAACTGTCCCAGAATCCTTCACCCTGTTTCCATCACATGAGAAGGGGTGGGCTGTGTCTGTTCAAGCCATCCTTGGGCTTGGGAGCCACGGGCTTGTTCTGATACTGTGTTGGTTCAGCAACTCTTCCCTTCCCTTGCTGAGCAAGGTACTGTGCCACAGAGTCAAGCTGCAGATACACAGGGCTATGTGGGACAGCTCTTACCCTCCTCACTTCCTGTGTTCCTTGTTGGCTGGGCCCAGGCCTGTGGCTTTGGGAGCTGGGGATAAAGTGCCCGTTGTGCCCATGTGAGCTCCCTAGGAGGCAGAGATGGAAGGATGCCGGGGCAAGCTAGCCAGTCACATACATCAGTAGTTGAGCTCCAAGTTCAATCAGACACTCAATGAATACAGTGAGAACAATTAAGAAAGACCCTTGAAATCACTCTCTCACACACAAACACACGCACACGGATTCAGGAACTGAGACCGTTCCGTTGACGCTCAGCAGTTGTCTGTACGGTTATGCTCGTATCTATACTAGCTGGCTAGGGCTGCCCAAGCTAGCTCTTGTCTTTGGGGACTCAGCTGTTAATAACATGCGCCACCCATAGGGTCTCGGCCTGATCTGTGGGATCAGGCAGCAAAGGTGATGCAGGCACCGCGCGCCTCTTCATCTGCAGGCTGTCTCCAGCTCTCTGACCCACTCCGCCATTCCGGCTGGATAGCGGCAGTTAATTACAGTGATGGCGGACCCGCCTGCTCCGGCAGCACAGCGAGAGCACAGGGCTGGGAGCCAGGCGCCAGCCTCACTAATTGGCAGCGCCTTGTGAGGTATTGATCCCAAGGCTCTTGCTGGTAAGCGCTGGCCTCCCACCTCCAATGGGATTAGGCTGCTAATTGTCCGTGGCCAGCCTCATCCTCTCCAAGCCAGCACCACACCAGATCCTGCCCTGCACTAGTCAGTCCCCTGCCTGCCTGGGCTAGGACTGGGAGGAGAAGGGTGGAGCCCAGTCGAGCTGACTGCCTTGGGGGCTCCTCCCATACAGACTGAGGTACAAAGGGGCTGGGAGGTCCCTGTTTACTGAGAAGGGTTGCTTCCATCTACCTATCCTCAACTGTGGCCCAGCTTCTGCAGGTAGCTGGGTAGTGTGAGCCACCCATTGCTTTGGCTGCTGGTGGCCTTCTGTGTGCAAGTGTTAACTGTTTTCAGTCTGGTGTGCAGATAGCATGTTCCCTGCCTGTGTGCTAGTGTCTGTGCAGTGTGAGGTAGCTACTACTCACAGTAGCTGCTGGGTAGGCTGAGAAATTGGTGACTAGTCCTCCTTGGTGTGAAGGTCAGCAACCTTGAAGTATGAATGGAGTTCTGGTACAGGGAACGCCATAAAACAGGAGGGGCCAGGGAATCCCAGGGCCTACAAATCTGTCCACACAGACAGCTGGATACAGGGGTGGAGCAGACATGGCTGAAGGCTTGCACGCCCGTTTCTTTGGAGGTTATAAAAATGTTCTCACATTGATGGTGGTGATGCGTGCAGACTGGCTTTGCTTGAAATGGCTCCGCCTTTCATCTCAGGATTCAAAGGCAGGAGGATTGCCATGAGTCCAGACCAGCCCAGGGCTCTAGAGTGAGATCCTATCTTTAAAAAAGGGGGTGAGCCGGGCAGCAGCGGCACATGCCTTTAATCCCAACACTCAGGAAACAGAGGCAGGCGGATCTCTGTGAGTTCTAGGCCAGCCTAGTCTACAAGAGCTAGTTCTAGGACAGGCTCCAAAGCTACAGAGAAACCCTGTCTCGGGGAAAAAAAAAAAAAAAAAAGACGTGCATTATACCATGGGCCTCCTGGGAAGGGTGGTGGCAAACACAAGCAGATTGCTGTTTGAGGAGATTTAGAATTCCTGAAGTGATTGAGTTTTTAAGTCTGGCATGGTCGAAGAGATACCTGGTGGTGAGTTCCAGGTCAGCTTGGGCTATGTAGTAAGACCCTGTCTGGAAAGTTGGCCCCCTGCCTCACTGTGTCTCTGAACAAGGTGATTGTACCCTACAGTGTGCTCAGTTTGGCCCTTTCTGCTCCTGGTGGCTTCTCTGGAGTGGCTTCTCTTGTCGGGAACATTCATAGAACAGGCCAGGCTAGGACTTAGTGTTACCTCAGTTACACTTAGTGTGACTGCAGGCATGACTTGTGTCATACTTGCGTGGACTTTCTCAAGGTCTGTGGCTGACAGGAGCCCTCACTTTTGGACCTATACCTGGGTTGGCATTGCAGACCCTAGGGTGTTGCTGACAGCAGGATTTCTCAGCTGCACAGAGGGGTGCCCTCCTGCTGGATGCCAAGCCTCCCCTAACTCATGAATGATAGCTACTTTGTTCCCAAGATTCTCAGGGCCAGCCCCAGGCCTGGCTGCTCCAATCCTGTGCTTTGCCTGCTCCAGATTCTAGAAGCCTTTTCCTGGGCTATCACTGTAACAGTTTTCCCTGCCCTGCCATGGGGCAGAGACTACAGAGTTCTTAGGGTATGGGCAATGGGTTTGTTGCCCATCTTGAGAACTAGAGGGTTCTTCCTTAGGCTATGGCCCTCAGGCCTCATTGCCTACCTGGATCAGACCCTGGTAGGCAGACATGTGAACAAGAGGGCTGCTTGACTGGGAACTGTTTGGGGAGGGGGCTGCTCTGCACAGTTCTACAAGCTGTTTCTGCAGGTGGCAGAATTTTCCCAGACAGAGCAAAGCTCTGTCCCAACATCAGCATTGGCCATCTGACTGAAGTCATCCCCAACTATCACGTCCTAGTGGGAATGGCACCCCAAGAATTATGCTGCCCATCCCCCTCCTGCCTGCTCTCTCGCTATGTGGGGGAAGGAATATTGTCTCTCTCTGGGGCGAGGCTGTTCTAGTATTCACTCACTATGGTGGACATACTGAAGCATGTTGACACAGTTTTAAACTAGTGGATTATGTCTCAGATTTTTTAAAATTAGTTGCCGACCTCTAGGCCTAAAAGGCAGTATGACAGGGAGGCCAGCAAAGATGCCCAGTACTTAAGGAGACCGAGCTGCTGACCACACCTGGCCTCTGCTTCCCACTCTCCTTGGGCGCAGAGGACCGTACTGAGTAGCTGGTGTTACTGGGTCCTTCCCTGCCTGGCCACCCTGGGGCGTCACTTCCAGTGAGAGTTCTGGAATTGCAGACGTGTGGGTACAGTGGGCAGCATGGCGGTGATGTAGCTCCTGAGCTTCTGTGTTCTCTTTCCATAGGGTCTTCACTGAGCAGCGAATCGTCCCCCGTGTCCTCCCCAGCTACCAACCATAGCTCTCCAGCCAGCACGCCCAAGAGAGTGCCCATGGGTCCCATCATTGTCCCCCCTGGGGGTCACAGTGTCCCCAGCACTCCTCCTGTGGTCACCATTGCCCCCACCAAAACCGTCAATGGAGTCTGGAGAAGTGAGAGCCGCCAGGTGAGTGACCCTGTCCAGAGATGTAGACAAAATGGGGTCAGGGGATGTCCCTGAAAGGAGTTGACTTCTGTCCACAGCTGTCAGGATCTTGAGGTTGTGGGCAAGGATGACCCTTCATTTTGGTCCTCAGATTCTTCTACAAGGTGGGCTTGATGTGCATCCCATACTGGAAGATGCACGGGTTAAGGTTATCCTTACATCAGGCTTGTGGCAGAGTACAGCAGACACATAACCTGGTTTAGGAGGCCTTAGCGGGAGGGGAGGGGAGGGGCTGGCAAGGCTCCTTTACTTTTAGATGGTATCTTACTGTGTCCTCTGGTGGCCTTGACTGTAATCACTTCTTTGGGGGTCTTTGTAGACAGATTTACCCAGAGGCATCAGGCTGAGGGGGCAGTAAAGTGCCTGAGGTGGTATCTGAGCCTTGGGTCCCTGGGTAGACAATAGCTATCCCTGCTTTGGGGGATTAGGGATGAGAGTGTAAGCCAATTGATAGTCCTAGTGCCTGATCCCAGCATGAGGGGTCTTGTGCATCTGCAGCTCCCAGCTGGTCACTCGCTAAACTAACTGGACTGGAAGAGTCAATGCCTGGAGCTTCCCCTTTACTCTACTGTGGCGCCCGCCCGGAGGGGCCTGGCTAATTAAGAACCGCTGTCAGCTGTGGCTTTCCCTGGATTCTCCAGCCCCATTCCCAGAGGGATTGTACTGCTAGGAAGTACTAATTAAACCACAAAGATGGAGGGGGAGGGGAGGAGCACCTCTCCCCAGCTGGGCTGGGACAGGAAAGGCAGGGTGTCCCTGGTTCCCAGTAAAGTGCTCCAAGCGTCCAGCAGGCTCCGGAAAGAAGTTTGGGGCCAATTTTTTGGCACCTTCTTCTTGCACCTGGAGTAGCATTTACCCCGGGAAGCCTGTCAGTAAGTCTGTCCCTGAATCTCAGCTTGACTCAGAGCAGCCTAGAACCACCCTATGCTGGTTTGAGAGGTTGAAGCAGCTGCCACCCTGATCTCCTGTCTGAGGACTTCTCCTAGAGCTTAGCTTCCTTTCCCTGGGCAGCCGGCCTACCTGGTGACTACCTGGCTCTGGGTTCACTCCTGAGAGAAGCTTGCAGGACACTTCCCGTTCCTGCCTTAAGCCTCCACTGATTGGAGCCCCTGGCCCAGGTCCAAGACACCTCTTGTGCTTGCATGTCCCCTGTCCCTGTGCCTCTGCCTCGTGACTGCTGTGCCTGGAGCCCGTCACTGTCCTCAGAGGGTCCTTACCGCCTCAGAAACATTTAGTAACCCAGAGAAGGGCCGCGATGGCTCCGCTCCAGCAGTTCACACAGCAGTTAATGAGACCTGCGTGCCACCAGGGAGGGCGACAAGCTCGGTGGATGAGCAGATGATGCTCAGAGCTCAGCAGAGAGTTTAATCCTTTCCAGGAGGGCGGGGATGCGGCTCTCCCTGCAGCGTGGCCATGAGTCACTAGGAGCCTCTGGAGGCTGCATCCACTGTTGGAAGTCAGGGGGGGGGATGGCTCCGGGCCCTTCTCAGGGGGTGACCAGGCAGTAGAAGCCGCACGAGGAGAGATGAAATGAAAAGCGGTCTATTTTGAAGCTAACAGGCATGTCCCACTTGCCCAACTGTGGAGACCTTGCTCTAATCACTGGAGAATGACAGCTCCCTCCTCCCCCAGCCGCTGCCTTTCATGGATGCAGCTGTGTCAAACAGCTCTGCAGATGTGTCTTGTCTGCCATAGCCACCGGCGCGCAGTGCTTGGTCTTTCCCGTCCTTCAGCACCCTAGCTCCCAGCTGACCTAGTTCACCGGTGTCTGGCTCAAGTTCAGCCAGGCCCTGATGAGAGAGGACATGGTGCCCCCAGCAGCCTGATGGCCATTCTAGGGAGACTGGGGTCTCATTTGTCCTGGTGTGGCTGGGGTGCATGCCCCCCATTTTTATGATAGTGTGTGCATGCTCCTCGTGAGAAGGGCAGGTCAGAGGTCATGAACCCATGAGGACCCCACAGGGAACTGAGACAGCCTGCTGCTCTACTCTGGGAAGGAAACAGATGTTGCTGCTCATTAAAAATTCAATCAGCAGCCTGTCTCCCTCAATTAATCGTGGCTGTCTGTCTGCGGGGAGCAGGAGGGTTTGTGTTAGGCTCTGGGAGAATGGAGCTGGAGAGTGCTGTGGTATGGTAAACTGCCCCCTCAGTTCACACAGAGGCTTAGCTGTGATACAACAGTAGCCCCTCCCCTCGTGTCTTTACATGTGCTTCAGTGACCAACACCCTCATGTTGCTGGCTGACCTGGGGGTGCCACCACAGTCTTGGAGAATAAGGCTACCATGAGCCTTCGAGTCGGACCACGGGTTCATCAAGTATCAGGAAGAGGGCCTTGTGTACTGCTAGCTGCTCATGCTGGGCCTCTGACCTGCCGTGTGAGGGAGGGGCCTGAGAACGCTGCCAGGTCTCTTTAAGTGATGGTCTCTGTTTTTCCCATGGTCCCAGTGGTGCCACTGCTTTGCCATGAGCCTTCCTTCCTAGTCACAGGCAGGCAGGGCTGCTTGGTCTGGTTTCTCCAGGTTAGATGCCGCCTTAGTTGTGTATACAGGACACCTGTGAAGCTAGATCTCTCCAGACCCTGGGTTACTGCCATCTCTCATTTTGTGCCTGAAGCGAGCCTCTCCTGGGGCCCCCAGCCGAAATGCATACAAGAGTGTCCCCAGTGTCCTGGATGGCTGCTGACACAGCTAGCATCTTGGGAGACACTCTTCCTGAGTTGCAGGTCCCCAGAGTGTGTACTGTGACCCATGACTACCCCGTGTGGGACTGGTTGTGGGAGGTAGGGGTTCCTTATCCTGCAGATCCTTTCACATGCCCCCGTCTTGGGACTCAGCAGTCTGAGGCATCACGGAGTCCCTTCGGGAGCAGAGCCAGGCCCTGGTAGACCTGCTTGTGGGAGGCCACACTTACCCCATGCCTTTTTCCCTGAATACCGCTTTATTGTAAAGAGAACATTAGAGGAAGGTTATTTCTAGAATATGAGCTAAACAGTGGCCTTTTTGTGCGTCTGGATGGCTCCCCAAGCCCTAATGTTGCTTCTTCCCACAGGACTCTGCCTCACGAAGCAGCAGCAGTGGTCGGGAGCGCCTGCTTGTGGAACCTCCTCTAGCCCAGGAGAAGGCGGCAGGCCCAGCTATCCCCTCCCACTTGCTCAGCACCCCATATCCCTTCGGCCTCTCCCCCAGCTCAGTTGTACAGGACTCCCGCTTCCAACCACTCAAGTAAGTACCAGACTAAGGAGGACATGGAGTGGCTTCAGGCAGGCTTGGAGTTTGCACCTGCTGGCGTAGAGTGCTGCTGTTAGCCTCTGTGGCCTGCTCTGCCCCCAGGTCCTTGGCCCCCATCTGAGCTTGTGGTACACTCCATGCTGAGACATAGCCCTTGCCCTAACCACATTTACGCCCATCCTCTGGGTCTAGGGACAGAGAGCTCCTCTAGCAGCTATGTCCCCTGGTGGGAGGTGGGGTCAGGGGCAGCCTTCGAGCTACTGGGGAGTGTGACATGTTTCCCAGCTCGAATAGGTCCTCTGCTCACCTGCTTTTTCTCCTGTAGCCTCCAGCGGCCTGTGCACCACGTGGTGCCCCCGAGCACTGTGACCGAGGACTACCTGAGAAGCTTCCGGCCCTATCACACCGCTGAGGACCTGCGCATGTCCTCCCTGCCTCCGCTTGGCCTGGACCCAGCTACCGCTGCTGCCTACTATCATCCCAGCTACCTGGCCCCACACCCATTCCCACACCCGGCCTTCAGGTGAGACATCCCACACACACTGTCCACGCGTGTGCTGTTGTGTCCTCAGCAAGACAGAACCTCTTGGGCTGGGTCAGAAGTTGCCAGGGCCTGAAGCCAGACACACTCGAGAGACTTGGTCCATCCCTGTAGCTTTCCCCAGGTCCCAGCTAAGTTTAGTCCAAACGTATCTGTTGGCTCTCAGTTGAGCCACCTGCTGATGCTCCCCAGTTCCCATGTCTCAACATCAGCCTGTCAGCAGCCAGTAACCACTAACAGCGGTTATGAATGTGGGCAGTGTGACGGAGACCATGGTGAGAGTCATGCCCTCTTAACTGCAGACTCCCAGCCTGACTGGCCTTTGTCACAGTGTCACACCAGAGGCCTCTGCTTGCAGCCAGTCTGCCCTTCTTGCCCACTTTCCCAGGATCTGGGAGGTCCTTGGTGCCAATGTGGCCGGTTCCTAGTGGACTCTGACCATGTGGAGGTGTCCTATGCCTGTGGCCTCTGCTGTGCTGAGTCTGCTTAGCAGATTCATCTAGCAGACAAGCGTCTGTCCCCCGGTCTGGGTCTCAGCCTTTTTCCTGCAGTGGTAGGGACTCAGTCCAGAGCTTTACCTCTGCTAGGCAAGCTTATCCTTTGTGACTGTGGCCTTGGCACACACCACTCCCATCTTTCTCTACAGGATGGATGACTCCTATTGCCTATCAGCCTTAAGGTCTCCGTTCTACCCCATCCCCACCCCCGGTTCCCTGCCTCCACTGCACCCATCAGCTATGCACCTGCATCTCTCTGGGGTCCGCTACCCACCTGAGCTCTCACACTCGTCCCTGGCCGCGCTGCACTCAGAGCGGATGTCGAGCCTCAGCGCAGAGAGGTAAGCTGTGCTTCTAGGCAAGGGGACGGCGGTAGAGCGTGCTTCGGTCCTTAACAGGCCTTGGCCTGGCAGCACTCTGTGGGTGTGTGTGTGTGGGTGTGTGTGTATGGGGAGAGGGTCTCCATGTGTGGGTGAGAGGAAGAGGGTTTTATCTGTGGCTGGCCCCACTTTGAGCTGGGGCATGGACTTGCCCCTTCTGCACATCCCCTTCAGCATGCTGCCCCCTGCTTGTCTCCCAGGCTGCAAATGGACGAAGAGCTGCGGAGGGAGAGAGAACGGGAACGGGAGCGTGAGCGCGAGCGCGAGCGGGAGGCCGACCGAGAAAGGGAGAAGGAACGGGAGCGGGAGCGAGAGCAGCGGGAGAAGGAGCTGGAACGAGAACGGGAGAAGGAGCGGGAGCGGGAACTGGAGCGCCAACGTGAACAGCGGGCAAGGGAGAAGGACCTGCTGGCTGCCAAGGCGCTGGAGCCCACCTTCCTGCCTGTGGCCGAGCTGCATGGACTGCGGGGCCATGCCACTGAGGAGCGGCCTAAGCCCTCAGAGCAGCTGACCCCAACCCGAACAGGTACCTGAGCTGAGCTGTGTGGAGGGCAAGACCTTTGCAGCTGGCAAAACACTGAGCGCCAAACTGGGAAGAGGTGTGCCATAGTACCCTGGGTAGATGTAGGTGCTGTGCTGATGGTGGAGGCCAGAGCCACACAAGTTAGGCCTGTTGTGCACTGTGCACTCACTGCTGAGATGCCCCAGATCTGACCTTGTCTTGTTTAGTCAATTATATGCCATAGCTATGTGTCCAAGGCTAGCCTGGAGCTCAGGTTTACCTCATACTCAGAGCAGTCATCCTGTGTCAGCTTCCCGAGTGTAGGGAGCACAGGCATGAGCCATCCCAACCTTGTTTTGAATATTATTTATTTGATAAATCTCTAATTGAGCTACTACTTTTATGACCGTTTTAACAACTGCCCTCCATGAGTCCTAAAAACGTGACCATGTGCTGTGAGCGAAAGCCCTACAAGACCCCTTCAGTCATGGGCCTTGAGCAGGGGTGAGGGTGTGCTGGCCTCCCGCAGTGACAGTGTTTTCTCCCACAGAGAAGCTGAAGGATGTGGGCTTGCAGGCACCCAAGCCTGTGCAGCATCCCCTGCACCCAGTGCCTGCCCCGCACCATACCGTGCCCAGCCTTATCTCCAGCCACGGCATCTTCTCTCTACCGGGAAATAGTGCTGCCACAGCCCTGCTGATCCAGCGCACCAACGAGGAGGAGAAGTGGCTGGCACGCCAGCGGCGGCTGCGGCAAGAGAAGGAAGATCGCCAGTCCCAGGTGTCCGAGTTCCGGCAGCAGGTGCTGGAGCAGCACCTGGACCTGGGCCGGCCCACGGTACCCACAGAGGTGGAACACAGGCCTGAGAGCACCAGGTGGGTCCTGAGTGGGACCTCGCATGAGGCGGGTGCTCCTGGTTCAGAGGTCAGGGATGGAGGGAAAGAGTGCACTCCTGTCCCTTCTGTTGGCCCATCCCACGCCCTGCTTCATCTTTCTGCCCCACTCCAGCAGTAGAAGTCTTGGCTCCTCATGCTCCCTGTCCTCCATGTTGAGAAAGGGCTGCAATTGGAAGGGGCCTAGATGCCCGGCCCTGGCCCTCCACACCTCGCACAAGTGGAGGGAGGCTCTTATGAATATGAGTTTAGGACTCACCACTTGGGATTGGATAACTTACCCGGTTGCTTGTCCCTGGATGTTTCTTCCTCTCGAAGCAGCCATTGATTGCCTGTGGCTCTTCCTATAGCGGTAGGGCCTTGTGACAACTTCCGTGTGTTGGCCTGTCCGCTAGTGTTGTCAACATTACAGCCTTGTGTAGGTGACAGCTTCCCTGCTGTCTGGATGGCACCGCCTACTAGAGGAGTCCTGGTACTTTGACTTTTACAGTCTTCCTCCACTTCTACAGTGCTCCCTGAGTCTTAAGTGTGGGAATTGCATTGTAGACTACCAATCAGGACTGGGTCCCCAAGGCACCAGTTGTCTGTATTTTGACTAGTAATATATCTCAGTAGTAGCCTGCTGCAGAAAGAAGCCTGTAGATACAGCTCCACCTGGGCCTTGAGGGTGTCCTGGATGGCATGGTGAAGGGGTAAGGGTCCTGGGCAGACTGGGCAAGAGCAGTACACCTGTTGAAGTGAGCTGCTTGTCTGCTGGACCGCCCTAAGGTCCCTTAGGCCGAGCTGCTGCTCTGGGACTGCTGCAGTTCTGACAGGGACCACAGGGGGGCAGCAGCACAGCCTCCATTCCTGTGGGAAGTCTTGGGCTTAGGTGGACACCCAAAGCTAGTGTCCCTGGCTCATCCCTAGCCTGCCCTCACGCCCATACTTGATAGATCTGGAGGAAGGGCTGTGATGTCAGAGTTTCACCTCCAGGAGGAAATGACTCTCCTGAGGAGGTGGGATGAACTCTCCCCAGGGATTTGCACTCACAGGCAGTCTGGGTAGCCCAGCAAGTTACCCTGGGTGTGCTATAGGAGCTGGTAGGCAGATCTGTTCCCATCACTGATGACTCAGTATGTTCTTCCCAGGCCAGGACCAAACCGGCATGACCAGAGCAACCGTGAACCCCCACAGCACTTTGGTGGGCCACCACCCCTCATCTCACCCAAGCCCCAGCACCATGCTGTGCCCACAGCCCTCTGGAACCCAGTGTCTTTGATGGACAATGCCCTGGAGACACGGCGGGCTGAGAGCCACTCTCTGCACAGCCACCAGACTGCTTTTGAGCCGAGCCGTCCAGCGGCTGTGCCGCTGGTAAAAGTGGAGCGTGTCTACTGCACGGAGAAGACAGAGGAGCCCCGGAAGCGTGAGGCCACACCACTGGACAAATACCAGCCGCCACCGCGGGAGGCAGGAAGTCTGGAACCTCAGACCTTTCCCCATGGACCTGGGCCTTTCCTTGCAGAACTGGAGAAATCAACACAGACCATCTTGGGCCAGCAACGGCCCTCCCTTTCCCAGGCAACCCCCTTCGGGGAGCTCAGTGGGCCCCTGAAGCCAGGCTCGCCCTACTGCCACCCCACACCGCGGGGCCCTGACCCAGCATACATCTATGACGAGTTTCTTCAGCAACGCCGGAGACTGGTCAGCAAGCTGGACCTGGAGGAACGCAGGCGGCGCGAAGCTCAGGAGAAAGGTCTGGCTCCTACGTGGGTCCCAACCTGCCTGGGGGGTGAGGATTTATCAGGACAGGAGACCCCAGTGCCAGCTGCTCGCCTTCTGCCACTCAAATCTCCAGTGCAGATTGTAAAAACTGGTTTCAGGTAGCAGTTTCAGGGCCCCTTGCCTGTCCTCTGAGGCACATTATCCTAAAATGGCAAGCTACAGCCTGTCACCAGACAGTGCCGTGGATGTACAGTATTGATAGGTGATGGTTGCTGGCATGTGATGTGCACCAGGAAATAAGGGACAGCAGCTGGCACTGTTTCTGCCCCCACAAAGTGGAAACAGCAGCTCCCTGAGGTCCCAAGAAGGCCAGAAGAGCCAGCGCACCTGATGGGGATGAGTGCCCCAGGCCAGTCTTGTTTCCTCTGGAATTGATTGGCCTGTTTGGTTGCCTATCTCCTAGCTCCTTATAGTTGGGGATGATGTAGGCCATCTTCCTGAGTGCTGGTTGTACTAGCTGTAGGGCCTGGCTGGGGCTTTTCTATCAGTTCACCTTGAAAAGGAATGGGGGCACCATAGTTTTTAGTTGCCTTCCCATGAGGCTCACAACAGAGGGGCAGCATGGACACAGGCCTTTGTCAGGCATGCTCCACTTTTGGTCTAGGGAGCATCCCATTCTCTGAGTCTCACAGAAGCTCAGTACTTGTCATCCTTAGCTCACCGCAGGTGTCCAGGCATACTGGAAGAAAGCAGGCCTTCTCTTAACAAGGCTTCTCACAGGTGCCAGCAGGCCTGGCCTGTGGTCTCACTCACATGCCCCCAGGTACACGTGTCCATGGAGCATCCTGGGTTCTGAGCCTGGCTCAGTGCATGTTTCTGCCATCAGGGTACTACTACGACCTCGATGACTCTTACGACGAGAGCGATGAGGAGGAGGTCAGGGCACACCTCCGCTGCGTGGCTGAGCAGCCACCCCTCAAACTGGATACATCCTCTGAGGTAACAGATCCTTCTCAACTCTTGCATGCTCTGGGCTGGTTGGGCTGTCGGTCCTCACTTTTGGGCCTACCTCTTGGCCTCCAAATCCCACAGGCCCTTGTTTCTGCTCCCCTGTGGCCTGCCTAGCTCCAGTTCAGACTCTGTAGCCCATGGGACCCCTGGGGCAGTAAAAGCATACTGGCGACGGTGACTTCACGCTCATTTGTTTTCTTTCCCTTTCTAGAAGTTAGAGTTTTTGCAACTTTTTGGCTTGACCACCCAGCAGCAGAAGGAGGAGCTGGTAGCACAGAAGCGCCGGAAGCGGAGGCGGATGCTGAGAGAGAGAAGCCCATCTCCACCTGCGGTTCAGAGCAAGCGGCAGACGCCTTCCCCCAGGCTGGCTCTGTCCACCCGCTACAGCCCCGACGAGATGAACAACAGCCCTAACTTTGAGGAGAAGAGGAAGTTCCTGACCTTCTTCAACCTGACACACATCAGTGCAGAGAAGAGGAAAGGTATGGCCTTACTCTGGCCTGCACACATAGGCCAGGGGGCTCCTGGGTAGCATGGGTTAATGAGTGGCCTCTCTGCTCTGGTTGGCCCATCCCATGGTGTCATCCCTGTTGCATTTTGCTCTAGCCCATGTCCTATTGGGATGTGAAGGCTAATGTACCGTATACAGCCAATGCCTATCAAGCCCCTCCTGCATCCTCTTACACTTGATCAGGGAGCCTCTTGAAACAGGGTGCTTCCAGGGCTTTCGCTAGGATTGACAGGAGGTGTTGCCTCCTGTTGTAGTGTCCCCTTGGGGACACCAGTGAGCTCTGCGGAGCACTGTTTTTGATGCTGGGCATCCTGAAGAGCAAGCCATATGTACGGGTGACCTGTAGATATCAAGCCCAGCCAACACATAGTAAACACACAACTTGCCCAGAAAGATGCTTCCAGATCAGTCTGGTATCCTAGGGCCATGCTGGAAGAGAGATTGGAACTGGAATTCACAGCATAGAAGACATGGCGTGGCCACAGCAGGCTGAGGCTTCCTTGATCGGCTCAACACCGTCTCAGGCTAAGGCATTAATGTACACAGCCTCGGGCCCCTTAAGGGCACTGGCCTCTTCCAGAGAGTCACCGGAAAATAGTGTCTCCAGGTCTTCAGTCGGTTTGACATGCTTCTTTATTGGAGGTGGCAGTTTCTTTTTCCATTTTTTAACAAGCATGGTGGAGGTCTCGCCTTCCCAGCAAGGGTTAGTGACGGGCTGACTGCCAGCACAAGCCTTGGACACAGGCCTCGTTGTTTGCAAGCCCGACTTTCCACCTGGCTTCTTGTCTAAAGGACGCCGGCAGCACTGAAGGCTCTTAAGTTTCAGAGTTGGCAGGAAGAGTTGCCTAAGCGGGGATCTGTGGCACGCTCTCCTTCACGGGAAATGGCTGTGACCCTCCCTGGTCTCTGGGGGTGCCCTTGTGTTGGGGCCACCCCTGGTCTTCAAATCAGATTATCTGCTGAGAAGGAAGTCACCGCGGAAGCGCCCAGGCAGCTGCTGCTCGTGGCTGTAGATGTGGCTGCCTGGAGTGTATGAGCCATGCTGGGAAAATAAAGAGTCGGCTGCCGTCACCTTCTTCCTGTCTGCAGAGCCGGCCGTGGTGCTTGCTTTTGGTGCCTCTTGGTATAAAGGGCTTGTACTTGCCAATCACGGTGGCCAGAGCCCGCCTTTCCTCCCTCACAGAAGTCCTGCTAACCTCGGACTGCTTTCCTCACAGACAAAGAGAGGCTTGTTGAGATGCTCCGTGCAATCAAGCAGAGGGCACTGTCCGCAGCAGTGGCAGACTCAGTGACAAACTCTGCGAGGGACAGTCCTACCATCTCCTTGAGTGGTAAGGCAAGGGCACCTTGCCCTCCAGCGTCCTGTAGCTTGGGCCACAGGGTTAGAAGTGGCATTCAAAGTCTCGTCTTCGTGGTGAACTTGACCTACTGGAAGCTGGGCTTCTCTCTCCATCCCTCTTGTGTGGTCTACTGCCATCCTGGTTGAGCAGGGCCCTAGGACGCAATGCAAATTAGAAGGCGGGCATGAAGTCCAGATGGCGGTGGCGCTAGCTGCCATTCCCCCAAGAGGAGGCTGTGCTGCAGATCCTGCCTGGCTCTCCAGACTCCAGCACCTGCTCTCTCACTCTTCTCTGCTGCTCTCCAGCTGAAGAAAGCTGAAGCTCAGGGGTCCTTCTTGCTATCTCTTCACCTGCTCTCCTAAGTTGGATGAAGTTACTCTCACCTTCTCAGCACTTCCTGCTGTTCTCTCCCACCTGCCCCTTGGGAACTGCTCACAGTTGGACTTGCTACTAAACACACTACTCTTGAGGCTCTAGCTCGTGCACAGCGTTTACATAGGGTGGACACGCCGGGTCTTTCTGCGAAATGTGAGCTCCTTGTGCCTGTCTTTCCACAGCTTGTAATGTTTTCCTCATTTCTGTCTCTCAAAGAACCAGCCACACAGCCAGCTCCTCTGGAAACAGATCAGCCTGCCGGGGTCCCTGCCTCCGTGTCAGACGCCCCAAAGGCCGCGGAGACTGGGAGACTGGAACAGCTCCGGCCCCAGGAGCTCTTGAGAGTCCAGGAGCCAGCTCCTAGCAGCGGTGAGAAGGCCAGGCTGAGTGAGGCCCCTGGGGGCAAGAAGAGCCTGAGCATGCTTCATTATCTCCGGGGCGCTGCGCCCAAGGACATTCCTGTGCCGTTGTCCCACAGCATCAACGGGAAGAGCAAGCCTTGGGAGCCCTTCATGGCAGAAGAGTTTGCACACCAGTTCCACGAGTCCGTACTGCAGTCCACACAGAAGGCGCTGCAGAAGCATAAAGGTAACAGGCCACACGTCCCCTGTCGCCTGTTAGTGCTGGGTGCCACTGGCCATTTTCATACCAACAGTACCTCCCAAACCTTAATGCCTGTGAAGCACTTAGAGGTCTCACTGGGCATGGGGGTGGGGGAGGGTAGCCTCGATCTCTTTCAGGCTTGTAGCAGGACCTAATGTACCTCCTCAAGACCCACACACCTTAGTTAGTAAATGACAGTTCAGTAAGGCCAAAGCAAGTGTCCTCTGCGTATCAGCAGGGGCCTTCCCAGCACCCCAAACTCTGGAGGTCTCGCTCTGGTTCTTTGCCAAGGTACTATGTGCCCACCCCCAGGGCCCAGTGATTGTAGGACAGTTTTCCTGCCCGTTCCCCACAGGTGAAGTGAGTGAGTGCAAACCCAGCAAGGAGAACTGAGTCACCATGCCCAGTCCTGTTTAAGGGTTCCACACCAAGCTAAGAAGCTCACACTGAGCTCACAGTGTCTCTCACTGAGCTGACTGACTCTGCTGCTGGGGCCCAGGGAGCAAAGGCAAGAGCTCAGGTGGCTGACTGGAGGCAGAGACAGCATTCCTGAAGCTTGCTAGCCAGCCAGATTAAACAAGACAGGAGAGCAAGAGAGGCAGAAAAACAGTGTTGACCTCTGGCCTCATGTCACCTCGCCTGTGAGGGAAAGGCCCCCAGGAGAGATGTGCTAACTGGGTCTTTGTGGTTTTATTGGGGACATGTGCTTTGGCCAGAGGCAACAGATTACTCCCTGCTCTTTATGGTGGATGGGCTCTCTGAAGTGGCATCTAAGGGGTGAGGCCACCAGCAGGGCTGAGCTACCTCCTGTTGGAGGGACAATCCCTGATCCTCGGGAACACCTCTGTCCTCTCGAAGGAGGCTGTGCTCACAAACTTACAGATCAGAGCTCTGACACGTGCTTGTCTCCGTGGGTGACTTTCAGGGAGCTCAGCTGTGCTGTCTGCAGAGCAGAACCACAAGGTCGACACGGCAGTCCACTACAACATTCCTGAGCTGCAGTCCTCCAGCCGGGTCCCCTTGCCCCAGCACAATGGACAGCAGGAGCCCCCAGCTGGCAGGAAGGGCCCCCCTATGCAGGAGGTGGACCAGGACTCTGAGGACGACATTGAAGATGACAGTGCCGAGGAAGCGGAGGAAGCCCCCAGGCGCCAGTGGCAAGGGATTGAGGCAATCTTTGAAGCTTACCAGGAACACATAGAAGGTAGGGATTTGTGGGAGGGATGATCAGCAAGTCTGGTCCACACTGGAGCCTTGCTAGTCAGGGGCTGCTTGAGTTGTTGTGCGGAGACATTGGTTTTCCTGCAGGGCAAGCATAAGGTATAGCCCTAGCCCTGAGGCCCTGCTCAAGGGGGGTGACAACAGAATGCTGCTGACTTGTACACATAGCAAAGCTCTGGCCAGTCCTGATTACCATGCTTGTGAGCCCACACTGAAGGAGCTTAGACACTTTGCAGCTCACTTTACTCTTAAGTTCCTAGATGCTTTTCCTGAAAGCAGCCTGAGTCACACACCTCAGCACACCCATACTGCTCTCATTTGTACCCGGCTCCCCAGTGTCCAGAGACTACTCCGGTGCACTGCCTTTGGCCTAAGCTACTTGCCAGTTACTTCCTCTTGTATCTTAAGCTTTTTTATTTGGCACATGACCAAGCTGTAAACATTGCATATGCTTGCTACTGCACCCCCTTGAAAGGTATTTTTGGAACAAATATGACACACAGGTAGCCGGAGCCCCTTCCCAAGCGGCGCCTTTCCCCCTGCCCTCATTTTGGGATTATTGGGTTCACTGTGCGCTGCTCTAAGGCATGTAGAAACAGGGCTCGGTAGCATCGCAAATGGTTTGGAGTAGAGGGAAATGTGGGGTCTGCAGGGCTTTTGAAGGCTCTTGGGATACTTCCCTGTGCCTGGCAGAAGCTCCCTTATGGCACCACCCTGGCTGTCCTTAGCAGCTGCATGAATCTCGGGGTCTTATTAACTACGACTCCCTGACAATAACTGTGCGAGGGTCTCCCCCTCTCCACTTGGGACCGGAGAACTAGCCCTCCAACTCAACAGTCCCGTGACGACACACATAAGCCTAACTCTGGGGCTTGAGCTTTGCCACATGGTTGTGTGCTAACCCCGGTAACAGGTGGGGTCCTCGTTTTTCATTGTCATTGTGCCACCTGGGACCTGGGTGGTGGGGCTCTTGTCCTGCTTGTGAAACTTGAGATAACCTAAGCTTTTCCTCTGCCAGGCTTAGTTTCCCTTGAGCTGACTTTTCCTAATTTGGTTGTTCCACCATTAATGACAGTTTGTTATCAGGATCATTTTAGCTTTGTAGAGATGTACACGCAGGCCCTTTTTCTAATAGCCTCAGCTCTCACCACCACCATCACTAGCAACTTGGTGTAAAGTCCATCTGAAAGCCGATAGTTTCCCTGGACTCTAACCTTGCCTTCTGACTCCAGGTTTTCCCCACCGCACTGGGGTGGCTGTTTTGACTCGTTGGTGCAGCTGAAGACACAGAGCCTCATATAGAGCTGATGGATGCATCCCCTCCTCTTGTCTTTTCAGAGCAAAACCTGGAGCGGCAGGTGTTGCAGACACAGTGCCGGCGGCTGGAGGCCCAGAATTACAGCCTCAGCCTGACTGCCGAGCAGCTCTCACACAGCATGGCGGTGAGTCAGGCATGGGCTCTTTACAGGCACCCCCAGAGAGGAGAAGTCTGCTCTCAAGAAATCAAAGCTAATGCCAGACATGGCAGCACATGCTTTAATCCCAGGAGGCAGGCAGATCTGTGACTGTGAGGCCAGCCTGGGCCACACAGTGAGATTCTATTTTAGAAATATGGAATAAAAAGATCTGTGGGGCAGTGGTGGTGGCGCACACCTTTAATGCCAGCACTTGGGATGCAGAGGCAGGTGGGTCTAGCTGACTCGAAGGCTGCCTGGTCTATAAAGTGATTTCTAGGACAGCCAAGGCTACATACACACAAAGCTCTTAGGGCAGTGAGGTGTCTCCCACCCTCACCCAGAGGGACATGCACAAGGCTGGTCAGACCTGGCGCCATATCAGCAGTACACGCTGGTTCTTTAGGAGCACATGTTGCTGGAAGAATATTCTAGCAATCCCCAGAAGTCACTCACTCACTCTGTATGTACCAGTGGTGTTCTGACGTACATCTTCTCCACAGGAGCTTCGGAGTCAGAAACAGAAGATGGTCTCGGAGCGCGAGCGGCTCCAGGCGGAGCTGGACCACTTACGGAAGTGCCTTGCCTTGCCCACCATGCACTGGCCTAGGGGCTACTTTAAGGGATATCCGAGGTGACGATTTCCCTTACACTAGGCTGAACCTATAGCATAGAAATATTATCTATTTTATTACCTTGAATATTTAATATTTTTCACTGGGAGGTTTGAAGCTTACAAATTGAGAACGTGCCATGCATGAGCGAAGAATTCCAGGCTCCAGCGAGGACGTCACCTTGACTCCAGTGTGATCAAGTCACCCTTTCTCAGCTAAGACTGTTTCTCTTTCTGATGGCGGTTTATTCCTTCTCCCCCCACATTCTTTGTATCCAGTACTGATGCCCACCGTGCATGTGGCTGAGGGAGAGTCAGTTGGTTGTTTCTGGTGTTGCTGTGCCAAGAGCCCAGCTTGCTCTTGCTACGGCCCTGGGAGTGCTAACCCCTTCCTCCCAGGAGGAATACTAACTTGCGCTGAGAAGGCTGGGTGTATACAAGCAAAGGGCTCATGATCAGTCACCTTCCTGCGCCATCGTCAAAGCCACAGGTCCCAGGAGCATGCAAGCCAGTCAAGGCTTCTCCCTGGAACAGCTCTTAGGAAAAAAGGCAAACCCACACCCAAAGGTACCTTGTTTTCCTTGGGGAAGACGGGTGGAGCTATTCACTGATAGCCCACCGACTGGATTGCTACCGCTGTGTGTGGCGTTTTCATACAAACATGTTTTGAGAGAAAAGTCAAAGGTGCTTCAGCCTTGTACTGTGTATATATTAAAAAAAAAAGTTTTGTATGTTTTTATTACTTTAATTATTGTTATAAAAAGCCTGCCATTTTTAATATGTGGTTTGGGGAATTTTGTTTGTTTTTCCTGTTTGGGGGTTTCCTTTGTTTTTCTCGTTTTTGTTTTTTCTGGTTAAAAAAACAACCTGCTTCTAGTGTTTGTGCTGCTGCTGGTCAGGACATTAAAATGCTGAAGTTCCTTTTAGAAAATAGAAGAGCTCACCTGTGTCATCCCACACGGCAGGGCTGAGGGGCACCTGGGGCTGGGCTAGTAGTGTTCAGAGCATGAGTGACCCACATGCAGCAGGAGCTTGAGGCAGAGCTGTGGGAGCTGAGCTGTGACCGCACAGCCATGGCAGAGAGCTCGGTACCAGGGATCTCCCAGCTTCAACTCCTCAGTCAGGGTTGGCCAACTAAGAGAACCTCTTCCACTCCGCGGAGGATGGGGAGGGGAGGCTGAGCCTACTTTTGGCCACCAGGCTTAATGGTTGTATAAAGCAGCTTGCCAGCAGCCCCTGCCTGCCCACCCCCTGCAGTTTGCTGTCTCCCTGCCAAGAATCTTCTAGTTAGTAGCAAACCCAGAGAAGAAAGTGCCACCAGTATTGTCAACAAGTGCGGCTTGGCACAGGAGCAGCAGGTGAGGGGTGCTGAGGTCTCTGTCCTACAGCCAACTGAAGAAGGGCTCGGGTGAGCAGAGGCTGCATGCCCTGGGACAAAGTTACCGAGCTCCTAACTAGATGCTACTTGCGCTCACCTTAGTGTTCCTGTCCCCATCCAAACTCCACACTGATGACCGGAAGCTTTTGCTAATCTGCTTGGTAATGGCTTTGGGAAAAGTAGACCCCATAACTTAAGGCGCACATACAGCCCCTTCTCCTTATCTCATAGGAATTCCCCTGAATGAGTGTGTGACCCAATGCAAGAGATAACCTCCCAGGTGGGCCTGGGGCACAAGCTGAGCCACTGACCTGGCAATGCCTATGTCCCTTCCAAACGCCCTGGCCTGCCTGTGGAGCCCTGAATATTCCCATGCTCACAAGTAAAGTGACAATCAGAACCAGGTACAAGCCAGTAAGGTGGCAGGCAAGTATGCCACTCATACCACACACACGTGGTTCTCCTGTCCCACATAGTCTGAGACACTGATGAAGGTAAAAACACAGCACACCCGTCCAGGTACCACATAGTCCCCGGCAGCCTCTCCCAGTCTTTCCCCACAACAGATCTGCTCTAGGATAGATGGACTAGGAAATTACTACGTACCTGGGAATCCTAGTCCTTGACCGTGTCTTCCCACTTCACCTCCAAGGGATAGCTGCCATCTCTCCTGGCTGAGAATTCACCAAGTTTGTGATGAACCAGTCCAGTGTTAGATCCCATGGCTCCGTGTTTCATCAGATCAGATTTGTTCCACATCATCAGAGCCAAACTGGTAAGGCCTGCCATCATCCCAGATGAGGAAGCTAGGACTGTCAACACTTAGTGGCTAGGTACCCAGAGGAGCACTGCCCTACGAATGGGGAATTGCAGCCATGCTCACAGCACTGCCAAATCTCAGTTAAACTGAACTGCAAACTAGATGCCTCCCACCCCTGCCCCCACGTCCAGAACCCAGCATGGAGATGGCCCGCACAGCAGGCTCAGCACCTCCGAGGTGTGCGCAGGCCACTTAGCAGCCGGCTGTGCTCTTTCAAGTACTCAAGCTTTGACTTCACTACTTGCCGTAGCCCGTCCCCACTGTCTGATCCAGTGCTTAACTTCAACCCTAGAGGCTGCCTTGACCCGAGGAGGCATCTCACTGGTTTTGTACTTGTGTGTGCCCTACGCCTCGCTGCTGGGGCGGTGGACCCAGGCAGGAGGGAGGACAGGTGCCTCGGTCACTCTGGGGGCAGTTTAGATGCTGTGAAATTAAACCCGTTCTAAGTGTACTTGTTTGAATTAACTGTATTGTAATATTATTTGTTGAATGTAGTAATTAGGTATTTATGAATATATTGCTGTAATTTCTGACAACATCCCAAAAATAAAATATTCCTAAATCATGTTAAGAGGAAAACCTTTTTATATTAGTGCCACCACCCAGCCCTCCCCACAGTTCTCAACTACACAGCTTTCACAGGTCAAACTTGAAGACACTGAACTTAACTGAACACTTGCTGTGCATGACAAGCGCAGGAGTCCGTGCTCATTCCAGAAGTCCTGGGCCGCAGACTTGTTTTCTTCCCCACGACAGGGAAGCTGGTGGCTTTCTACAGCGATGGAAGCTGAGCTTTAGGCAAGCCGAGTTCCTCCACCCGTGTCCACACCCATCTCTCCAGAGCCTCTTCAGTCGAGCTAGAAGTCCTAAGACTGTGTACTCTCGGAGGGCTGGAGGTTTGTGCGGAGTTTGTACATGTGATTAAGTGCCTGGGTGAGGAAGGCCCCACTGCTGTTGATCTCCATCAGGGTCAGGTTATCCAGCTGAAACAAAAAGCCAGTGAGAGCAGAGGAAGTTTGGACTTCAGAAAACTAACCTCACTGAGTGGACGCTTGTAAGCCAATGAGTTGTGTGCTCCTGGGTGTGAGAGTGAAGCCCAAAAGCCTGTGTGCACCAGGCTGGCTCCCCAAGAGCCATATCCCGAGTCCCCATGAGTTATTACTCAAAGCAGCTTCAAATCCCTGTTTACATGGCTGAGCAGGCAGAATGCCCTGACAACTCCCTGGAAGCATTCACACTGGCTGGCAGTGCCCACGGGCACTGGGCGGGGACAGGAAAGCCACGCCTACCTTGGCGTGTGCCTCCTGCTGTCGCACAAAGCTGTCAGCAGACACCCGGAGCTTGGCCATGCGTGTGTCCCACAGATCTTTGATCAGTGTCCGGATGGTGTCTGCCTTGGGAATGTTGTCGGAAGCACTGAGGATAACATAGACACACAGTACTGAAGATACAGACACACAGGCAAAGCAGATAGGAGCACTTGGTGAGCTTGCCCAACACAGGCACAATGGCTGCTTTAAAACCAAAGCTTGCGGCCCCAAACAGCTCAGCAGTTAGTGCTTGCTGCTCTTCCCGAGGATTCCAGTTCTGTTGCTGGCATCCATCAGGCAGCTCACAACTGCTTATAAACCATAGGCCACAAACACCTGTGGCAGACAGCCGCACGTGTAGATAAACAAAGCTTGAGCCAGGTATGGTAGCACATGGCTGTAACCCTAGCACTCAGAGAAGGCTGAGGCAGGAGAACCAGAAGTTGAAGGCTGGGATATACAGCTAGAGACTCTGTTTCAAGGCAAGAAGGCAAAAAAAAAAAAAAAAAAAGAAAAAAGAAAAAAAAAAAGCCTTGCATGGACCTGGGAGAGTATTGGGCTCTGTTCTTTCCTCGAGGGTTGGGATGTCGGCAGGTAAGCTTGGTGCCCAGTGTTTCCATTCATTCTCACTGTCCATGCCCAGTGGCTATACACAATGAAATGACAGATCTGACAAAGCGAAATGCTGAGAGCCAGAAATGGTGACTACTCCCAGCACTTGGGAGGCTGAGACAGGAGAATACCTGGTCACGGAATAGAGTGTGCAACAAAGCAACAACACAGGCTACAGATGGCTCAGTAATTAGCACACACTGCTCTTGAAGGGTGTACAGTTTGGTTCCTAGCACCCATGCCCGATGGGTCAAAACGACCTCTAACCCCAGCTCCAAGGGATCCCACACCTCTGGCCTGAGGACACTGACCTGCACTCACATGCACATACCAACACGTGGACACAAAGATAAATCTTCAAAACGATAACACATTGAAGGTGCTAGAGAAGGCTAGCAGTTAAGAGCACTTGGTGCTCCTGCAAAGGGCTCAATCAGTTCCCAGACACCTACGTGGGATGGCTAGACTCCCTGTAATTCCAGCTCTGGAAGATCCAATACTCTCTCTTCTTGTCTCCTTGCAGCTGCACTGACATGCACATGCTCCACACAGACATATACACACATGTAATTAAAAAATAGAGCTGGGTGGTGGTGGCACATGCCTTTAATCCCAGCACTTGGGGAGGCAGAGGCAGGCAGATCTCTGAGTTCGAGGCCAGTCTGGTCTGCAGGTGAGTTCCCGGAAACCCTGTCACAAAAAACCAAAAAAGAATAGTGGAAAACTGGGCCGGGGACACTTCCTTTTGGTAACAACATTCTGTGCTATGTAACTTTATCTCAAGCTGGCTCAGGTCAGCAGATCCCTGTTTTTACCAGTGACATAACCTCACTACCCAGCACCACAGGGGAAGAAAAGGGCAAGCTTTGTGCTAAGCCCTTTAAGTGCTCACAAAAGGCAGAGAAACGGGACTGCCACTGTGGGGAGCACAGGTTACAAAAACCGCAGAACAAAGTCTCAAAGTAGCGGGTGTCTGCAGAGTTTAAGGTGGCAGTTAGTAACAACTTTCCTTTACGACATACTAGAAGCCAACCTTTGAAAAAAGAAGCTCACACAAGACAGAGGCAAGGGGACTCTTGTAGCCCATCACTAGGGGCTCTCCCCAGCCTGTCAACACAGGAGTAGCAGGCAGGTCTGTGGTATAGAATGATGAACACACATGTTCAGATCTGAGTGGTGGTGGCGCATACCTTTAATCCCAGCACACAGTGGGGGTGGGCACAGAGGCAGGCAGATCTCTGAGTGTTCAAGCCCAGCCTGGTCTGGTCTATAGAGCGAGTTCTAGCACTGGCTCCATAGCTACTGAGAAATTCTGCCTCAAAAAAACAAAACAAACAAACAAAAAAACCCTCCAGATCCTTATCAACTACCAAACAAAGTAAAACTGGTTCCCAGACCATCGAGATGGCTCAGCAGGCAAAGGTGTCAGTGGCTAAGCACTCTGGAGCCAGTTCCTGAAGTTGTCCTCTGACCTCCATATGCACTGCATGCCATGCCGTACGCAGGGATCCACAAAATAAATGTGGTTTTTTACATTTTTATTTATATTCATTCATTCATTTTTTTTCCAGACAGGGTATCTCTGTGTAGCCCTGGTTGTCTAGGAACTCTGTACACCAGGCTAGCCTTGAACTCAGAAATCTACCTGCCTCTGCCTCTGCCTCTGAGTGCTGGGATTTAAGGTGTGTACCATCACCACCAAGCTGAAAAAATGTTAATTGGGTTTCTTAACTAAATAAATTACACAGTAAGGCTTTGGTTTTTGTTGTTGTTTTAAAAGACATGGTCTTCCTGTATAGCCCTGGGTGGCCTGGAACTCCTAAAGTAGACCAAACTGGCATTCCGAGATCTATCTGTCTTTACCCTCCACCCCTACAAAGTGTACTACCATACTCGGACAACAATAAGGTTCTTGGCAGAGTAGAATACACAGAACGTCAAGAAAAAGTTCTCTATACTGGTAGCTCCAGCCTGGTTCCGAGCCATGCACCCAGATTTTCTCCTTTCCCAGACTGCCACAATTTTTCTCACCTCCTCAGGTCTCCTCACCACCACAGAATCCATGGCTCCGCGGCCCACCATGTACCCTCGTCAGTCTGCGTACCTCTAGCACGCGGAGCCCCAGTTCCTTACAGCTCCTCCTCCCCTGCCGCCCTCTCCCTGCTCCTCTGGGACAGTCTGCTGCTCTCCTCACGCTTGTGTTCCTTCAGTGCCTTCTCTGGCCCCACCAGGCCCTGCTATGCCCCAAGGACTCCCACAGGCCCTGACTGTGACCAGTTCACAGGGTCACGTTTCTCTACCCAAAGGGGAACTCAGACCATGTGACCATGTTTAGAACAGTAAGTGTGTGTGTGTGTGTGTGTGTGTGTGTGTGTGTGTGTGTGTGTGTGTGTGTATATATTTTTTTTCCCAGACAGGGTTTCTCTGTGGCTTTGGAGCCTGTCCTGGAACTAGCTCTGTAGACCAGGCTGGTCTTGAACTCAGAGATCCGCCTGTCTCTGCCTCCCAAGTGCTAGGATTAAAGGCGTGCGCCACCATCGCCCAAGTATATTGTTGTAGGAAAGAATGGGTGACCTACAGCCACCCATCCCTCTTGAGTTCACCTTTGGACATGCGGTGATACAGGTCCCTACTGCCCAGCCGATCTAAGAGGGTGGCACAGTTCTGGTCTTGGTGCCAGATCTGCTCTTGAACCTGCTGAAAGGTATGGTCCAACTGGATGTTCATTACGTTAGGTTCAGGCACCCACCGCTTTCATTCAACAAACCTTCATGAAGCCCGTGTGGGGACAGTCCCTGCCTGTCTAGTACAGGCTGCATAATGGCACAGCCGGACAGTAGACTACAAAACTGCCCTGGAGCAAATGCCAGAACAGAGCGCTGCAGACACGGTGCTAGGCTAGGAGCTAGGGCAGTGGGACCACTAAAGCCCAGAGTTAAGAACCAATGTAAGCAATATAGCAATACCCCATATCAGACAAACAAACCTATTCTGCCAAAAATCCAGTGGGAGCATAAACCTACAGACAGAGCTGTGAGAGGGGCGACAACGCCTGCCAGCTGTGACCGCTGTGAGCACTGACCCGAGACAAGCTAGAAGCTACAGACAGGCAGCACCAAGCATAAGACAGACAGCTGGGGCAGATGTGGACACACAAACCCAGAGCTTGCAGGGCACATCTCTATAGCTCGAGACCAAGGCCCACATGAGGCCCTTGGCCACTCCTGTGACAGATGCAGACACCGACACAGGGAACCCGGATGCACACACTTCCGGGCAAAGCTGGACTAAATGAAGCATGTGCACAGACAGGCCTGGACATACAGAATCCAAGGCGGGGAGAGAAGGAACAGGAGAGAACAGAGAGATAGCCTCATCACCCTGCATAGAGACACCTCTCCAGGTCACCTAGGTGAGAAACTGGGTGGCTGGGCCACCATGGGAGTGGGTATGAAGAGAGGGCGAGAATCCGAGTCCACAGAGGGCATGCACGACCTCATGCGCTGACTCACTGATTGAGCAGGAGCTTGGTGATCTCCATGTAGTGCGGGCTGGGCACTGGGGTGAACGTCTCCTCCTTCCGCTCCTGATCTCGCATCTGCTCCAATTTCTCTGAAACACAGAGGTCAATGTGCTTCACCAACACCATAGCAAAGAGAAGACGTGTTCTTTTGTTTCTCAAGACAGCATTTCTCTGTGTAACCCTGGCTGTCCTGGCATTTGCTCTGTAGAGGAGGCTGCCTTGAACTCAGAAATCCATCTGCTTCTGCCTCCAGAGTTCTGGGATTAAGGGCATGCATCACTACTCCTGGCTGAAAAAAAGTTTGCTTTCTTTTATTTATGTATATGAGTGTTCTGTCTGTATGTATGCCTGCACGCCAGAAGAGAACATCAGGTCTCATTATAGATGGTTGTAAGTCACCATGTGGTTGCTGGGAATTGAACTCAGATTCTCTGGAAGAGCAGCTAATATTCTTAGTCACTGAGCTATCTCTCCAGTCCCAAGAAAACTTTTTATTTTTTTCAAGGCAGGGTTTCCCTGTGCAACAGCCCTAACTGTCCTGGAACTCGCTCTGTAGACCAGGCTGGCCTTGAACTCACAGAGCTTCGCCTGCCTGCCTCTGCCTCCCAAGTACTGGGATTAAAGGCATGTGCCACTACCACCTGGTAGAAAAACACTTGTAATCTTACAATTTGCCCAGGTGCTGGTACTGCCTACGTGGCCAATAGGCAACTACACTGCATACAAACGAGGTGGGATATTCCTATCTTAGACGAGACGCCTTGCAAGCGCTGCTCGGGAAGAACAGAGTCTGATGTCACCACTACCCCTGAACCTCCTTCTGATCTATCTGCCCTCTACTCCTCTACTCGTGTCTGTAGCCAATGACCTGTGACCTCTCAATGCTGGAGTCCAGAGCTCCACAGGTGAGTCCTTGCCACACCCCAGGCTCACATTCTAGCCACCTCGTTCTGCTCAAGTGGAGACCCGAAACTCCTGGAGGACTTCCCCAACTCCTGCCTCTATGTCCCACTGTTCACATGAAGGACTTCCACCTGGACTGCTATCCAGCAAACCTAAAACAGTGGGCTCAGACTACAACATACCCTGGGCCCCCTCACTGTCCTGCGTTCTGCCAACCTCAGAAAACAGTGATTCCATCTAAGCAGAGCTGAGCCTCAAGCCGCAGCTGGGCATGTCTTAGCACCAGCTCTTCCCTTCTGTCCTCCACACATACCTCAGCAAAGCCTGCTACTGCTCCCTTGAAAGCACCCAGGCCAGCTGCAAGCAGCCTCACCACACCGCCACGAAAGCAGTGATATAATTTTTCCTGCACACCTCACGCATTCCAGGCAGGCAGTCCACTACTGGCCTGGACCCGCTGCATGGGATTAGTTTTCCTTCTACCCTTGAGTCAGATAAACACATCTGTGCAATATCTTCACCACTCAGACTGGCGATGCCAACCCTCTGGCCAGGATGTGAGACAATGTGATCTCATCTACATTTCCCGGGGATCCTAAAGTTCTAACACTCAGCAGGACTGGCTGGCTGCTTCTTATCACTTCAGATCACCTGTGTGTGGCCCAAGTCCCCAACAGGCGGTATCTGTCTGCCTAAGGAAAACAAGCCTGCGGCAGAGCAGACACCTGTAACCCAGCAACACGGGAGGTGGGGACCCATTCTCAACTACACAGCAAGGAGGGAGCAGCCTAGGCTACATGAGACCCTGTCCCAACAAGTCAAAGAACAACACCTATCTACTGAAAGACTCAGACAAGAAAATTCCAACAGTCTCATTCAAAATCGTAAAAAATGGGAATGCCCTGGAGACTGGCGAGATGGCTCAGTAGATAAAGGTGCCTGTCGCAAGCCTGATGAAGGTGGACACAGAGGAAGGGCACAACTGACTCAACAAGTTGTCCTCTGCTCACAGGTGTGCCAAGGCACACCTGCTGACACACGAACACGATGACTTTTAAAACTGGGAAACGGGCCGGGCGGTGGTGGCGCACACCTTTGATCCCAGCACTCGGGAGGCAGAGGCAGGCGGACCTCTGGGAGTTTGAGGCCAGCCTGGTCTATAAGAGCTAGTTCCAGGACAGGCACCAAAGCTACAGAGAAACCCTGTCTCGGAAAAAAAAAAAAAAAAAAAAAAACTGGGAAATGGGCTGGAGAGACGGCTCAGCAATTAAGAGCACTTGCTGCTCTTCCAGAGGACCTGGGTCTGGACCCCAGCACTCATGCAGCAGCTCTGAACCCCACTTCCGGGGAATCAGATATACTCCTGTGGTCTCTAAAGGCACTGCATGCAGCACGCATGTGGCACACATAACCCACACATATAAAATAAAAATAAATATGGATAAATGTCAAGTAACCCAAATGCCCACCCACAGACCAGGCGAGCAGATGCAGAGAGTCCTCACACAAGGGAGCAGCTAAGCAGGAGACAAGGTGCATGTGGCCATGGGGCCAACTGCAAACCACACACCCACAAGAGAAGTCAGAGAAGCATGCCACATGATGTCATTCTATGGACATGAAGTCCCAGAGCAGACAGGCCTCCTGCACAGGCTACCCGCACCAGCACCATCTGATTGCCCCTCACCTGGACAGCAAAAGCATAGAACTCTGCCCATCTATCTGACTTTGGGCCTGGGCCAGCTGAAACCAATGATGGGTCTCTTAACAGATTCATACACAGAGGGGCTAAAGTTGCCCCCTGAGGCACAGGAACTGGGGTCTCCAGTTTCAGGACTGTGAATCATCCACTCCTTTACATGGGGAACAAGAGGCCCAAGTTCAAGCACAGCTCTCTACCTGGGAGCGACTGGCTTAAACATTCTGCCCGCGTTTGCTTTCCTTTGCCACGATGAACATCATGACCAAAAACAAACTGGGGATGAATAGGTTTATTTGGCTCACTGATCAAAGTCCACCACGGAGGGAAGTCAGGGTAGGGACTCAAACGGAACCACGAGGGAAAACTGTTCATTGGCTGGCTCAGTTTGCTTGCTTACACAGCCCAGGACCACCTGCCTAGGGGTGGCACGCATCAAGACATTGCCCGACACACATGCCCACAGGCCAATCTAATGGAGCTGATGTCTCCATTGAGGGCGCTTGTTTCCAGGTGTGTCTGTTGAACTGCCAACAAAACGGACCATGACTAAGCTTTTTTCTAGGTCTTCTCAGGTGCCTCCAGGCAAGCTCAAGGGGGATTTTCAACACGTGATGCACAACCTCTCTCCCACCAAAAAAACAAGACCAGGAAAGACTGCAAAGGCTCATGAATGTTTTCTTTCATTTTTTTCTAACATCTTCAGAGACATCTTTAATCTACCATCATACTTTTGAATCAAACTGTACAAAGGGCTTTTAATAAAGAGTTGTGCGACCATCAATTTAATCTCAGATTATCAACCCCCCCAAAAAACCCATAACTCCTCCATCACTTCCCCAGCCCCCATTACCTAAGCAGTCACTATTCCGTGCCCGTGGTTCAATTTTTTTTTTATTTTATTTTATTTTTTTTTTTTTATTTTTGAGACAGTGGTTTTGGAGCCTGTCCTGGAACTACCTCTTGTAGACCAGGTTGGTCTCGAACTCACAGAGATCCGCCTGCCTCTGCCTCCCGAGTGCTGGGATTAAAGGCGTGCGCCACCACCGCCCGGCTCCGTGGTTCTATTTCTGACTGTCTACATAAACAGAATCATACGAGCTTTTTTATTCAACATCCTATTTTCCAGGTTCATCCACCTTGAAGCATATATCAGAAGCCCGTTCCTTTACACGGCTGAATAATAACCCATTGTAGGGTGCCGGTCCTAATTTGCTTTGCTATGCTATGATAAACACCATTAATCAAGCTGGGGAGGAAAGGGTTTATCTGGCCGGATGGCAGTCCATCATCGCTGATGCAAGTGAGGGCAGGAACTGAAGCAGGCACAGAAACAGGAGCCACGGAGGAAGGCTGCTTACTGGCTTTCCTGCCCTCTTATATAACTCAGCCCCACCTGTGTAAGGGTGACCAGACCAACAGTGGGCTGGGCCCTGCCGTGTCAGTCATTAACCAAGGAAACGCCCACAGTCATGCTCACAGGCCGGTCAGATGGAGGTAATTTCTCCGTGGAGGTTCCATCTTCCCAGGTGACTTGAGTTTGTGTCGATTTGACAAAACTAACTGCACATTTTCACAGTCTTTGTAACAGAATTTCCTAGCATGCTGACACTCAATTAAAACAAAACTTGCCGGATCTCTGTGAGTTCCAAGCCAGCCTGGTCTACAGAGTGAGTTCTAGCATATCAGGGCTACACAGAGAAACTCTGTCTCAAAAAAAAAAAAAAAAAACTAAGAAAAGTTTAAAATGCCTCTTTAAAGTTGAATCTCTGCTCCAGATATAAACTAAAATTTACTATTATTGTATGCAGTCGAGCGCATAGGAAAGTCAGAGAACAGCAGGACTCGGTTCTCTCCTCCCACTGTAGATTTTGGGGATTGGACTCAGGTTCTCAGGCTTTGCTGCAAGTGCCCTTACCCACTGAGCCATCTCGTCGACCCCACATCTTTGATTTTAAGGCTAGGTAAATATCTAAAATCCAAATAGGAACTGGAAGTATCACAAACACTACACATCAAAGAGCCACTGGAAGGAGTCGGCTGTCCGGGAACCCGGAACGAGGAAGGAGGCAGATCCAGATACAAGCCCGACCCACCCGGGCCCCAGGGAAGCTCACCTACATCCATCCACTCTGGAGGTAGCAGACGGCACTTCTGTCTCTGTTTCAGGTTAATGGCCAGCCACAGGGGCACTTCCACGGGTAAGCCGGGGTTGAAGGGCCCCAGGTCCCCCTGCAAGGACAAGGCAGACCCCAGGTGGAAAGGAGCGGTGACCTGTGCATGACCCCGCGGCCGCAGCCCCGTCCCGCCCGCCTCACCCCAATCAGGTAGATTTTGTCCAGGCTGAAGTTCGGAATGATGGTCACCAGTTCCTTCTCGGCCAAAAACTCCACCTCGGCGGCGTCCATGGTGAAGAGACCACACTTCAGATCCGTTCCCGTCCCTCCGTGTCTCAGAGGTCCAGCCTGGGCCGAGGCTTTCCCGCCACGACGCGGGGACCCGCCCCCTGACACGCCCACCCTACCGGAAGACGGCCTGCGGCGACCTATAGAGACGTTGCGATCGTCGCAGCCGCGACAAGAATCTGCAGCTAGTACGAGCCCGCGGATTGGTCGGTCAGAGCGCGGCTGCACTCAAGCCCCGCCGAGAACTATAACAGGGCCCCGCCCTTCTCTGGTTCACCCTTTCCTATCCGCAGGCTCCAGGCTTCCTTAGTCCTGATTCGGCGGGGTCGTGAGTTAGTTACTCCCCTGATGATCCAGCGCCCGGGCCATCGCTACCCTCTCCCGGCCCCGCCTTTAGCCCCGTCCCCTCTTCTTCATTGGTCTTCAGTCCTGTCCCCGCCCTCCGGCCGCACACCACTCCTCCTCCTGCCCGTGCTCATGGCCCCGCCCCTACCTTCTTTAGTTGTGCGCGGCCCCGCCTCTTGCCCCGCCCCTGCCTCTCCTGCACCCGCCCCTTCCCCTACACGCCAGCAGGAGGCGGTGCACCTGCCGCAACCCGCTTCTTAGCAGCCCCCGCTGCAAGCTCAAGTCACTTGCCTGCCTCCACTCTAAAAGGGTAGAGTTTTGGAGCCTTGTCTTCACCAGCCCTAAACGCAGATCCAGAAATAAACATATTCATCCCAAACTCAGCTCTGGAACCTGGGACATGGCTAACTGGTCCACACAGACACCATCTTGAGGGAAGGGTCTTCCGTTTAATTTTACGGTCTTTGCCCTTTCTGAACATGGGTTAATAAAAGCAAAAAATGGGACTTCCCTGTCTGTTCTTGTCTGATCCTTTGGGACAGAACCCAGAATCAAAGTTGTAGCAAACCAAACAAATGTCAGGTGAGCCCTCTGAGGCGACAAGTCTACAAACGTTTTATCATTGCGATTGCAAAAATTGAACCCTACTCCTGAAAAATGCTAAGCACACCCTCTTCTGCCGAGCTACACCTCAGAACCTGATGCCCTCAAGCCCTCTGTACAGTGGACCTAGGTGAGCCAAGAACGCTCAAATCCCTGAAAGTCTCCATGTTACTATGGCGCTGCAGGGAAATTCTTAGTCGAGTCTGGTGAGAAGAGCTGAACTATAACAGGTCCTCTAAGATAGATGACTCCAGCAGGGTGGCAGCAGATCAGGGTAGCTCACAGGGAGTGGTTAGTCTACAACTGGTAAGGGCAAGAGGGGCTGGACCCAAGTTTGAAGCCGGTAGTGATATTCTGTTTGTAATTTAACAAATAAAGCTTGAGGCTGGAGAGATGGCTCAGAAGTTAAGAGCATTGCCTGCTCTTCCAAAGGTCCTGAGTTCAATTCCCAGCAACCACATGGTGGCTCACAACCATCTGTAATGGGGGTCTGGTGTCCTCTCCTGGCCTGCAGGCATACACACAGACAGAATATTGTATACATAATAAATAAATATTAAAAAATAAATAAAGCTTGCCTGAAGATCAGAGTGCAGAGCTAAGTCACTAGTTAGCCATAGAGGCCAGGCAGTGACACCTTTAATCCCAGCATTTGGGAGACTGAGGCAGACTGATCTCTGTGAGTTCAAGGCCACCCTGGGCTGTGTGAGATTGTTCCAGTTTAAACGAGAAACACCTTTAATCCCAGCCCTAGAAAGGTGGAAACAGGAAGGGGTATGGCTGGGCAGAAAGGAATATAAGGCAGGAGGAGACAGGAGCTCAGAGGCAGTCTGAGGATGCAGTCAGAGATGCAGTCTGAGGATTCAGTGGGAGCATGCAGTCTGAGGATTCAGTGGGAGCACACGGTCTGAGGATTTGTAGGGAAGGATTTTCCCCTTTGGTCTGAGCACTGGTAGAGGTAAAGACTCTCTAGTGGCTGCCTCTCTGCTTCTCTGATCCTTCAGCTTTCAGCTCCTAATATCTGACTCTGAGTTTTTATTATTAAGACCAATTAGACCCCCTGAACACAGGTGCCAATGGTGTGGCATGGGCAGTATATGGGGCAACTGGCAGTGGGACCAAGACTTAACTCTAATGCATGAGGTTACTTTGTAGAGCCCATTCCTTGCTCAGCCTAGGCACAGGCGGGGGAGGGGTTTTCTTTAGTCCTGCCTCAGTGAGGGGGGGGATGAGACAGTCATACTTGATTTCCCAAGGGAGACCTTAACCTCTTTGAAGAGCAGATGGGAGGTAGGGGGAAGGGGGAGAGCAGAAGGAGAAAAAGGGGAATTGGGATTGGTATGTAAAAAAATAATTAATTAATTAAAAAAAAACAAATAGGATGTGTGTTATGGAAACCCCCACCATTAGGCCCAGGGGTGAGTTGTAATCTGTTTCAGATTTCGGCATTTCAGAGGTGGAAGCAGAAGGGTCTCCAGCTGGGGCCACCCTGAGCCATAAAGCATTTACAATCTCAAAACTAAAGAAACCCAAGGATGGGTGTGTACCTTTGCGACAGAGCAGTTACCTCCCATATGCAGGGTCCTGCTGTAGTGGTTTGAATGAAAATGACTCCCACGGCTCACAGACGTGAAGACTTGGTCCCTTGTTAGTGGAGCTGTTTGGGAAGGATTAGAAGGTGTGGCCTTGTTGGAGGAGGTGTGGTACTAGGGGTGATGATTATGGAAATCCACCACTGCAGATATAATAAATAAGCCAGTCAAACCAAATTATTAAATCCAAGCTTAATGAACAGAACAAAGCAACTCCTGAGTGACCCTCAGGAGGGCAGGAGAGGAATCATGTGGCAAATACAGCTACCAGGTCTTAAGGAGCCCATAGGCATGGTCTTGAGCAGCCCCAAGGAGGGGTTGACAGTTGGCGGACTTTCTCAGGGGCAGAGTTTGAAGAGGGCATCTCCAGGGGTGGGGCCACCGTTTTGTACACTGAGGGTGGGGTTTGGAACAGGAGGAGTGAGACCTGAGCATGGAATGGGGTCCCAAGCTGGAGATCCCAAACAGATAGGCTTTAAGCCCACATCATTCCCAGTGTGCTCTCTTGTCCTGTGCTTGCGGATAAGGATGGAAGCTCCCAGCTACTACTCCAGTACCATGCCTGACTACTTGCCGATGTGCTCTTCTCCGAGATGGTGACAGACTCTAACCTTCAGGAAGTGAACCCCGAATTGAATACTTACTTTTATAATTTGACTTGTTCATGGTGTCTTATCTCAGCAATAGAAAAATAGGCTATCTGGGTTCCATCCCAGCAAAACACATACATCTACACAGCATAAGGGATGTACAGTCTGGGTTTCTGTAGCCAGGCAGAAAATTTGCTGCATCTCAACTATGGCCCCTGACTGGGCTGTATCCTGCTCCCTGCAGGGACCTTGAAAAGCTGTAATAAAGCCCTGATCAAGCTCTGCCCACCCCCATGGCTTGGAAGCCTGTCTGCCACTTAGCTGTGTTGGAAGTTGTCCCTTGCAAACCCTCTGTCCCCTCTATGAAGCTATGAATTCATACAACTATTCTCAAAAGAAGTAAAGGTCACTGGACGCTGAGTGACTACTCTGAGCCTCAGTTTCCTCATCTTCTTTTGAGGCTAGAAGAAGCTCTGGGTGCATTCAGAGTGGGAGAAGCCATCAGCCACCTGGACCATGCCAAAACAGAAGCTGCCTCCCGCTCCTGCGGAGTATGTGTGCCAGCTTGTCTGGGTTTTGATTGACAGGGGAGTGTTTTCTTGACTGGCAAATATTTGTGTTCCCAAGTTGGCTGTGCTTCACTTCCTGGTTTGCACAGTCTCTAAAAGAGCAAAGGCAACGAAAGTAATGTGGAGAATGGGGCTGGGAGACAGACAGCAGGGGCTGGGGAGCAGACAGTGGGGCTAGGGGAATAGACAGTGGGACTAGGGGAGCACACAGTAGGGCTAGGGGAACAGACAGTGGGGCTAGGGGAGCACACAGTAGGGCTAGGGGACAGACTGGAGGGCTGGTAGGAGAGCAGACAGATCTGGTGTCTTTTCCTGTAAGATGGGGGTGGTGCTACTGAGCAGCCCCCAGGCTTTTGGTGGGGCATGGATGAGACTGCGCACACTCTGTGCTCTCCACAGTGGTGGTGCCAGGATGCTTGTTTGTCTCTCTATAGCAGTGAGTTTCCTAACACCCAAAATGCAGGTGTGACCAACTCCTTGCAGCAGATACGCAGAAGAAAGGGTGGCTAATCCATGCCAAGGGTAATACTCAGCCCAAAGCAGCCGCTACACACCAGGGCACAGATAAGCCCCCAACATGATGTTGGTTGAACATATGCCTGCAATTCCAGCACACCAGAGCCTGAGGCGGGAGGACTGAGCTGAAAGCCATTCTGGGCTATATAGTAAGTTCCAGACCAGCCTGAGCTATATAGTAATACTATAAAAACAAAAACACAAAACAATAAGCCTGACATGGTGTTGCACATCTTTGGTAACCCCAGCACAGGAGAGGCACAGGCAAGCAGATCGAGGCCAGCCCCATCTACACAGAAAGTTCCAGGCCAGCCAGGGATACATCATGTGGTTCTGCAAAAACAATCAAATGGGTGCTGGAAAGATGGCCCAGCAGTTAAGAGCACTGGCTGCTCTTCCAAAGGCCTTGAGTTCAACTTTCTGCAACCACAGAGTGGCTCACAAACATCTGTAATGAGATCTGGCGCCCTCTTCTGGTCTGCAGGTGTACATGTACGCAGAACCCTGTATATAAATAAATAAACCTTAAAAAAAAAATCAAGGGCTGGAGAGATGGCTCAGAGGTTAAGAGCATTGCCTGCTCTTCCAAAGGTCCTGAGTTCAATTCCCAGCAACCACATGGTGGCTCACAACCATCTGTAATGGGGGTCTGGTGCCCTCTCCTGGCCTGCAGGCATACACACAGACAGAATATTGTATACATAATAAATAAATATTTTTAAAAAATCAAACAAGCACCAAAATCAGGGGCTGGAGAGATGGCTCAGTAGTTAGGAGCGCTTGTTTTTGTAGATGACCCTGGCTTGACTCCCAGCTCTTACATGACTCACAACTGTCTGTAACTCCAGTTCCAGGGAACACGATGCCCTCTTCTGACCTCTGCGGGAACCAGGCTGGCAAGTGGTGCACAGACATACGTGCAGGCAAAATATCCATGAAAAATACAAATTAATTTTAAAAAAAGGTAAATGAACAAATAAAACCCCTCTATGATGCCTCCGTGACGTCTCCACTGATAAAGCGTTTGCCATACAATCATGAGGACCAGGAAGCCAGCCACATGTGGTGGCACACACTTTTAACCCAAGCCCTTGGGAAGCAGAGGCAGGCAGATTCCTGTGAGTTCAAGGCCAGCCAGGGCTACACAGTAAGACACTCCCTCAAAACAACAA